AGGACCTGTCAGCAACACACGTTAGGAGACTCTTGGAGGGTCCATGTTTTGCAGAAGTTGTCTCCCAACAGATACTGAAATTCCTCATAACTACATCAAACCTTCTTGAAACATCAGCAATCTGCTTTTCAAAAGTTTCAGCCTCATCTTCTCCTTGACTGGGTGGTCAGTAATAGACTTCAACCACTGTGTTCTTTCTATTCCCTGCTCCCTTTATATGAATCCAGATACTCTCAATGGGACTACTAAGCTCATCCTCCTGTATTTCTGTGCAGACATAGGTGTCCTTAACTACAGTGTGACTCTGTCTCCTTTTCTGTTCCTTCTGTTCTTCTTGAAAAGGTTATATCCTTCAATTGTTGAATTCCAGTCACAGGAGTCATCCTGTCGTGTTCCAGTTATACCTCTTAGGTTGTATTCAGCATCCAAGTACATGCTGTTTGTTTCCTGTACTTTGGGCATTAGTATATAGATGCTGAAGACAATGTGCTTTATAGTATCACCTTTGTCGCCAAGCATTCAGCAGGAGTGTTTTTCTTTCCCTGTCTCTTCCTCTTTCAAGAAGAGAGAGGATTGAAAAGAAACTATCTGGAATCCAATATTCTTAACTTTCGTGCCTAAAGCTTCAAAGGCTGACATGATTTCCTCAAAGCTCCGCTTGGCAGTGTCATTTGCTCCCAATTGTATAAGAAGGAAAGGATATGGTTCTGTGGGCTGAGTGAACCTTGGCAATCTTTCAGTTTTATCTTTCATCTGTGCTCCAAGGAGACAGCATACCTGGCAAGTCCATGGGCCTTCCTGGCATACACGTGTTCCCATCCTGAACAGGGAGTCTCCCACAACTAACACTCCCATTTTCTTGTTCTTGCAGTGCTTGGTAGCATTGCCACTACTTGGTTGACCTTCAGCCTCTTGCTCAGTGTTGCATGGGGTAACTTGTGCTGCTTCCATTGCAGGCCGCCCTCCAGACTCATCCCTGAGTGACTGGGAAGGGTTCCATAGTTCCACTGCTGCAGAGAGTCTTCCAGTTCTTCTGCACCTCACTGCCACCCTTTTGCAGGGACTTTCTTCCTCTTTGTCCCTTAGCTCAGGATTCTCTTCCTCTGCTCAGCTTGCTGTTGTACTTCTAGTCTCGGTACTACTCTTAGGTCTTGCAGTTCCACCACTCTGTCCAAAGCCTCTTCATCTTCCTTTATTACCCTGAGGATGGCCACTCAGTGCTCTAGCGCTCCCACCTTTTCTTCTGACAGGACTACTAGCTTGCACTTACTGTTGCATGTACAGGCCATGTTGCCCTCAGGCAAGAAAACAAACATTGCACAGATGTTGCCGGTTACCACCACCGGGGAGTCTTCTTGGTCCATTCTTTTTGTTGCTTGTTTGATTCTACCTTGTTCGGCCTGTCATGACAACTGGTGCTTTCTCCTGACTCCACCAAAGGCGAGCAGTATAGTCCTACTAGTAAATGGGAGTGTATTACAAGGAAGAAAATGAAGGGGGGATGACATATGGCCAGACTGGTGCTAGGCAGGGCCCCACATCTTTACTTGCTCCTGGATGCAGCTCTGTTCAAGTTTGCCTTGGCACAGGCAGCTACTTCCAAACCTCGTGTCTTATACAGGCCAGACTTAATCCTGCTGGAGCACTAATGCTGCTTGGAAGATGAACAGGTGCAGGCTGAGAAAGGGATTAGCTGAGATGACATCCCAGTGGGTGCTCGGCAGCTTCCCTCCACATAATCTGACAAGGGGCTAAACCAGTTACTGCTTGCAAGGGCATTGATATTCATCCAGAGAGAGAGAGAGAGAGAGAGAGAGAGAGGGAGAATACCTGTGGCATCAGAAGTTTCTCCTGCTGGGTTACATTTTTCGGGGTGGACCAGGGGGAAATCCTACTTCTAAGAGGGAATCAATAATTCTACCACTAATCCAACTGTGTGTGACAATTTTGAGCATAAGAACTATAGACATAATTGCAATGGAAGATGTGATTAAACAGTCTTCCCCAACCCCAGTGCCCTCCAGGTACGTTGGACTGCAGCTCTCATCATTCCTAGCCATGGTGCCCATTGACTTTATGGATTAAGGATGATGAGGGTTTAGTCTAACACATTTGGAAGTTTGAATTAAATAACCTGTTCATAGAGCAAGATGGACTTCTCAGTCTTGGCTTCCGCAGCCAATTCTGCTGGAGGTAAATTCTTGGGTGCAATGCTTAGTATCCTGGTGCTGTCGGAAACTATGAATTTAATTGGCTGGATGTTGGGTAGCAGTTTAGCTGCAGTACAATGTGCGCTTTACCTGACAATGTGGACCATCTGTTACCATCAGGCACTATGGCTGGGCGCAGATAACGTAATAATGTACACTCAAGGGCTGAGTGTGGGTGACTGTTGAACTCCAGGTTGCTGTTGAAATGTGGATTATTGTGTTGTCTGAAACCAGCTGTGTTAACAGGCTGCGGTTTGTTCACTGTGCACAACCTCTGAAGAGCACCTAGTTGAGTTCATAGAATCATAGAATAGTAGAGTTGCAAGGGGCCAAGAAGGCCACCGGGTCCAACCCCCTGCTGGTGCAGGACACCAGTTTACACCATCCCGCTCAGATGGCTGTCCACTGTCTTTTTGCATGTCTCTAGTGTGGGAGAGGCCACCACCTCCCTAGGCAGCTGGTTCCACTGTTGTATTGCTCTGACAGTGAGGAACCTTTTCCTGATGTCCAGCCTGAATCTGGGTTGTCGCAACTTGAATTTATTATTCCGTGTCCTGCACCCGGGTATCAGCAAGAAGAGATCTTGACTTTCCTTTTTGTGACAGCCTTTGAGGTACTTATAAAAGGATGCCATGTCCCCCCTCAGTCTTCTCTTCTCAAGGCTGAACATGCCCAGTTCTCTCAGTCTCTCCTCATCGGGCAGTGTTTCCAAACTCCGGGTCATTTTTGTTGCCCTTCTCTGGACCCTTTCTAATTTTTCTGCCTCTTTCTTAAATCTTGGTGCCCAGAACTGGACACAGTATTCCAAATGAGGTCTGACTAATGAAGAGCGTAGAGGAACTACTACATCTTGTGATTTGGAAGTAATACCTCTCTTAATGCATCCCAAAATAGCATTTCCTCTTTTGAAGGCTGCATCACACTATTGGCTCATAGTTTTAGCCTGTTGTCCACAATTACTTCAAAATCTTTTTCTTTTTCAGTTCTGTTGAGCTATGTATTCCCCATCTTGTATTCATGCATTTAGTTTCTTTTTCCTAGGTGGAGAACTTGGCATTTGTCCTTATTGAATCTCATTCTGTTGCTTTCAGCCCAGTGTTCAAGTTTTTCAAGATCACCCTGGATCTTCATTTTGTCTTCCAGGGTGTTTGCTATTCCACTCAGTTTTGAATCCTCTGCAAATTTAATTATCTTTCCTTGTACTTCCCCATCTAAATCATTCATAAAGATGTTGAAGGGCACTGGGGCCAGGACTGAAGCCTGTGGCACCCCACTAGTTACCTCCATCCAAGTTGAGGAGGTGCCATCGATGAGCACTCTTTGCATCCGATTTAGCAGCCAACTTCGGATGCACCTAATAGGTTTTCCATCTAGTCCAGTTTTTGCTAATTTGCTTATCAGAATGTCGTGTGGCACTATGTCAATAGCTTTGCTAAAGTCTGGGTAGATTATGTCTGCAGTGTTCCCTTTGTCCATTTGAGAGGTTACCCAGTCAAGAGAGGGAGAGAGACTGGATTTATTTTTGATAAAATCATGTTGGCTTCTATTAATCAGTGCATTTTCTTCAAGATGCTTGCAGACTGATTTTTTAATAATTTGCTCTAAAGTTTTTTCAAGATTGTGACTGTTCACCATGATTTATTACCTTGGCTACATTAATACAACGCACCCATCCATGTTTCATCAATAACCTATGACTTAATGGCAACCCACACCCAACCCATACTTAAATGTGGGTAATTGTGTTGTCTGGCCCCAGTCAGAGAGATGGTGGGGGCGGGGGGGGGGGGGTGACTGAGTGTTCACACCTCCATACACAGCTTTTTCTCTGTGAGTAACACCATTTGCCAATTCAGTTGTTTTTCAGAATTGTTTTCATATTGCAGCATTCTTGTTTGACTTGTCATAGCATCTGGTGTGCTTTTCTCTGCATGGTTTGTTAACCATGCACAAGCCATTGTAAGAACCCATGCCAGTTTAACATGATGTGAGAACCAGGAAGAACGGCATGTGCACGGCTTGTTGGGAAGGACTATACAGCTACCTGGCAAGAGCCAGGAAAAACTTAGACATTCCTCACAAACTTGCTATGCTCTCTGTTATATCTTAAAATTAGACTAGTTTACTCCTCCGCTTTGTTGCCTCTTTAGACTACAACTTTTTTTTTCTCTCCCACACCCCTCCAGCTTTGGGAAGAGCTGCACAAATTCAGAGCAATCACTGCTTCTAAGGGAATTTCCATAAATTTCCCTAAAAAGCTTTTTTTTGAAGAAGCAGTAAAGTGTAAATCTCCCTGAAGGTGAAAAAAAGTTAAATGGATGCAAATCTTCCTGAATGTGGGGGAAAGTAGCACTGAATATGCACAAGTCTCTCAAAAGCTGAAAATGGAATTCTACAGATAAACTCTACTCCACTGCTGAGTGCATAGGCTGCTAAGGTTGCGCCACAAAGGCCCAGGTGAGATGTGCCAGGACCAGGTGGAAGAACTAAGGGATAACAAGTACCTGGTCTTCTTTTGGGAGTAATGTCGGCAAATGAACAACTAGTTCACAATGGCTCAGTTCAGGATGGCTTGTGATGTGAGAACCATCTCAAACACAGTAGGCATTCCTGGTTGTGGAAATTTGCAGCTGTCTTCCTGCTTTGTTCAGTTGCTGGTTTTATTGATTGTTGGACTTGGCGTTGCAATGGTGTACAATCATTTCAGGTCTAACCTGATGGGACGTCCTTGTGTCTCACCCGAGTTGGGGTGGATGGTTTGTGATATGGTTTGTCAGAGCAGGGGCACTGTTTCTTGCCATTACTTATTTAATTTTTATTTATCTAAAAAAAATGTAGGCCACCCTCAAGGGTAAAATCTTTTCAAGGTGGCATACAGGATAAAAAAGATACAAAAATACACAATGTGACCTTCCATTCATATCTGTACTACTGTGCTCTCCCATCAGCCATCAACTGGTTTGCAAACTTCCTACCTGTACTTTTAAAAGACTATGACTTTGTGCAAAGCAGCCAACATCCTTGGGGAATGCTGAGAGATGGTCTTTCTCCCCCTTAAAAGATGCATAGGATCATACACATAGGCTACAAATTTCTATCTACTTACCTGAGAATAAACCTCATTGAATTCAATGAACTTGCTTCTGAGTAAACCTGCCTAGTATTGCACCCTTAAAAAAAAATAGGCTTGTTATGTTGCACATTTTCCCCTGAAATAAAGTCCACTTCATCAAAGGGCAAATAAGCATTATTTGGCATTGAGGTGAATAATACTAATTCGGAGGGGAAGCCGGATCAAAGCGTTCTGGATCTGCAAGGCTGAGGAGCCTGTGTCCTGGTGATCTGCATTGCTGGCGCTTGCCTGTGCTGGTTGAGGACAGTGGGAGCCGTAGTCCAACCCAGCTTGAAGGCTGTGACATGCTTAGGGAAAGAGAGAGGTTCCCAGATCAGGAAGTGTTCTTGGCACCTCTTTTTCTACAAATGGAGCACTAACATCAAGACACTGCTACACTACAGACAATCACTGTCCCTTGCATGTTAAAGGCAGGGCTATGTGACCAAGTCTGGGGAGTTTTCCTCAGAGGCCTGGCCCTGCTGTGACCTTGTTCAGAACCACGTCTCCACATAGAAGGATGACTTCCTCTTTCCAGTGCCCGAGTCCCGCTTTCCTTTTGCTGACTTCTCCGTGAGATGCAAGGTCTTCCCGCGTGTGTCCGGCTTCTTCCTAACCTGCCGTTTTTTCTTGCCCTCAGAGGTGCTTTCCATCTCCTCCTCCTCCTCCTCCTTGCGAGGTGAGGGGGGTGGCTCAACTCTGATCTGGGGGATGTGGAAAGTATGAGTGTGGCTGTCATGATCCTTCTGGTCTGTTTTCATATCCTCCAGTTGCTGTGCGTCGAAGATGGCCTTTGCGCCAGAGAGTCGATGCTCTGGGTTGTACTGGAATTCCGGCCGAGCTGCACGCAGCTTTGCCAGCTGGACTCTGTATTCACGCTCCAAATCACGCTCTGAGATGGGCACTTCATGGACCTGCCAGATATGAAGAAAGGAGAAGGAGCATTTTCTAGCATCTGAGGCCAAAAGCTTGTGACTCAAGGGAATTAGGAGTATGGAGCCTAGGGCCAGAAGAAGGAGACCACCAGTAGAGCAGTGGGGATGCTGGGATCCTAATGCCCAGAGTCTATAAGTAGACAAGAGGTGAGGTAGGAGGGGAACAGAGGGTAGCACCTGCCAGTGGACTGGAACAGAGGCAAGCAGAAGCTATGGTAGGATCTATTTTAGATTTCCAGGATATTTGCAGTTTCCAGTTAAGGGTTTCCAATGGTTTAACAACAGAAACAACAAACGGACTTCCCCCACTTAAGTTAAAAAAGCAGGCTGGCTTGGTGGGAACACAACTGTCCATTGCATGTGAAAGGATGTTTAAACTAGCAGCAGCTTGGCTACTGAGGACAAATTCTGAGGCTTCGTATGTGCTCAGAGGTACCTATTTCCTTGTCATTATGACTGCCTTCCTGAGTGATCACACAGGGCTGCAGCTTACAGAGCCTGGTGTCTAAGGGAAAACAATGCCGTTCTCTCTGCTTTACAGAGCCTGTCAAGTCTGAGACTACAGAGGGAGGCAGTCAGTTTGATGGAGGTGGCAACTCTGTGTGTGTGTGTGCATGCGTGTAAGTTTGTGCAGATGCATGTCTGTGAGTGCTCAGAATGGGCTGACCCAATGCATTTGGCTAATGCACCGTGCTGACACGGGGGCTAAATAATTTGGCCAGTGGAAGAACTGTTCTCTGAAGATCCCTTCATACACAGGTTTGCATAACAGTGCTCACACAAAAGTGTCACATGCACAACACTTTTGCAGGCAAGCGTCCCATATAAGTAGTAGGCCTCAAGGTTTGGCTGGGACACTCTGTCCAGGTTATTCTTGGAGATGATCCAGGAACTGATGCCGCATCACACTGAAGTGACCCTTAATGGCTATTGTTCAGCATGTCTGAAGATAGCAAGGGTGTAGGCCTTGGGAAAGGCTCAGGGCCCACTGCAAGTGTGATGGCTGTTGCAACCAGAAGTGCTTTCCCAAGGATGAGACCGCACTATCAGAGACGAAAGAAGCCACAGCAAGTTCAGCTCTAGTGCAATCAGCCTCCCCCTGCTGCCCTCTAGAGCTTTCAGAGTGCAGCTCCTCTGATTCCCAGCCAGTGAGCTCACTGGCCACTCTGGCTGGGGACTCTGGAAGTTGCAACCTGACTCCTATGGAGGACGCCAGGTGAGGAAAATTGGAGTATAGGGTCCCTCTTATGAGAGGAATGTGTGTGTAAAGTGGTGGTGGAAGGGTGGGTCAGATGTGATGTTATCCGCATGTATGAGAGATGCAAGTCTGTACAGAGATCACGTCTGGCCTTTCCTTCCCACCCTGCCAGAACAGCGGACTACAGAGGACTGATGTGAGGGGCACAGCCTGAATGGGCATTTGCGGGTCAGAACTTCATGTGGCATTACATTTTCTCTTCCTGCTGCTTTCTCTACCTCTGGTTGAGTGCTAATCTATGCAGCACAGGAAGCTGCACCCTTTAAACACCACATCCTTATCTTATCCTATCTAGAAGAAAGTTGGAGGCAGAAAGCAGAACTCACCCAGAAAAGCAGAGGCATAATCCCATGGTTTTGGGGCTACCAGTCTCAGATTTAGCTGAAGCTTGAACAGCTCCCCATAGGAGTGCTGCTGCAGCCACACTAGGGTTGCCCGCTTTTTAATCACCTCCTGCTCCTGCTCCTTCAACAGCAGCTGAATTTGCAGGCATTTGCAAGTGAGAATGCTTTTCTGCAAGCTGTGAAAACCTTGCTCTGCTTAATTTTGTATAACAAGATGCAAAGAAGGAGTTGGTTAACTGGCAACCCTAACCTACACACCCATCAAGAAGGAATCCACTTCACATTACAGGCAGGCAAAAGCAAGGAAGGGACCTCCTACTGTCATTGTGAAACTTAGGGTCTTTCAGTGAAAGACTGAATTGCAATCTCAGAAAGGGAATGTGGGCAACACTCCCTCTGTGGGTGGGGCCAAAATGGGACTCTCATCAACATTAAGCCAATTTAAAGGAAGCAGAACTGGATCACTCTGCAGCCCTTGCAAATATCTACTGAGCAACAGCCAACAGTCGCATGCCTGCTCACAAGAACAAGCAGCAAGTCTCAGTGTCTGTTTGGAAGCAAGAAGAAATGACTCACTTAGCAGCTTTTTCCCAGCCGCCTCCCCTCTTGGAAATATGCTTGTCACTGTGAATATGGATTAAAGGTATGGATGGATTAAAGGTATGGATTAAAGATGAGAATTCCCCAGAGAAGTGAAAGGAGCTCCCCCCCCCACCCCTTAGTATATGGAATGGGCTTCCACGGGAGGTGGTTGAAGCCCCATTGGTGAGGGTGTTCAAGGATAGGCTGGGCATGCACATGGTAGGCATGTCGTGAGCAAAGCTGGCTGTAGCCTGGGGTCAGACTAGATGGCCCCTTATCACTTGTTCTATTTCTCTGTTTCTTTGTTAGTGCTCATCAGGGGAAAGCTTTTCTCTTCAATCAGCTGCTATGTGGAGAGAAGATCCTTTCTCTAGGGGAGGGACAGAGTTTGGGAAGGAAACTGGTGGGCTGGAAGCAGGACCCTGCAGGCTGGAGGTTCGTCGATTTACAGTTTATGGTTTATGGTGGTGTAGACAATTCAGCTTCTGCTTGCAGCCCCCATACAGTCTAGAGCATGGGTCCTCAAACTACGGCCCAGGGGCCAGATCTGGCCCGCCATGTCCATTTGGACCTGCCGTGCGCACGCCCGCACGCCACCGCCCACCTCGCCCTGCACGCAGGGAGGCAGTGGTTTGCTCGCTCGGAGAAAACGAACTCCAAGCAAGCAAGCCGCTGTCTCGTGCACCCGCCTCAAGGTGCCTGCCTGCCCCATCTCCCCTCCCCTCGCCGTGTGCGCCTGCTCGCACCTCGCCTCGCCTCACCTTGCCTGCCACATGCCCCACCCCTGCCCCCGCGCCGGCCTGCGAGCACCGCCAGCACCACCTTTCTGGCCCGGCAGCATTCAACTGGCCCCCTGGTGGAAAAGTTTGAGGACCCCTGCCCTAGAGAGAAGCCCCAGAGAGGAGGCACGATGGTGGTTTCTACCTCAGCCATGAATGTGTCCTCTTGTAGGAGGTGAGCAGGGATGCTGCGCAACTTTTCCAGGGTCTCCACTAGTCCTGCACAGTCTCGCAGTTTGTCTGAGGAGCCCAGTGCCAAGCGGACTAACAACAGCCCCACACGAAACAGCACCTTGACCCCTGCCGAAGACATGTCAGACACAGAGTTCGAAGCCGTCAGGAATTAGAGGAAGCTTTTTGGGAGGAGGTAACACTTGGGATAAACCTTGTAATGGAAAGTTCTTTAATTGTAGTATGTTCTGTTATGTAGAGATATATAATATGTAATTAGTGTTATTAATTTTTACACTGTCATCAAAAATTGTAATGTTTCAGTTTTGTTCTTTTTTAATGCTGTGTTTTTTTCTATCGCACAGTAAAGCATTAGTAATAATAAAAAACATAGGAAGGTCTCCTATACCAGATCAAACTCTTTGCCCCTGCAGCACAGCAGTATCTCTCCAGGGTCTCAGGCAGAGAACATCTCTCCCATCTCCTCCTACCCAACCCTTTTGACTAGACGTACCAGAAACTGAACTTGCATGCAAACAATGTCTCAGTATGATAACCCATACTCATAAGCTGAATGTGGATTATGCTAGAAACAGGATTCATCATGTTGTCTGAACCCAGCTGCACTATCAGGTCAACATAAACAACCTATGAAGAGGAGCTATGTTGGGGTGTGAACTGTGGGTCATGCACCAGGCTTTGTTATCTCAGCTGGGCTCCGCTGGCACAAGCATGGTTCAATGTCAACTCACACTTAGCCCTTACTCAATTACCTGCTGGATAGAAGTTGGCTAAACATCCTGCAGCCAAAGAAGACATTTGGTTTTTAATTATCAATAACATCTGCTGTTTTCTTCTGAATAAATATTGAATGGAGTCTGTTGACTTCAAGGCTGAAGAACCTTGTGGTGGTTGGGCTCAGATGCTTCCCAGATTCAGACAGCATGGCTAATAGACTCTGGAAGCTGTATGTGCCCTACTCTGAGGTACTTATTTCAAAGTGTACACGGTTTGGTCTCATGCTCAGAGTAGGTTTCTCACAACTTCAAAGCCAATATTATTCCTTCAGCCCTCCACCAGATTGTACCAGCCACCCTGTGCCTGTCACATAGCTATTGCCCTGTAATACTGTTGAGAACAGTCCTGCTGAAATGAATGGGACAAGTTGGACTAACACTGCATGCAACCCGGTGTTCGTCTTCAGGTTCTGCTCCCGCTCCTGCTGCCACTCACCCTCACTCAGGAAGACGTCCCAGACTCTCAACACGGTAGGGAAGGGCAGCGTGCGGGCAAAGAGGCACAGAAACCACTCCGGCATGTAGAGCAAAGGGCCCACCCCATGCTTCTGCAAGTGCTTCAGTGCCTTGGGGCACACTCTGCGGAGGAGGGCCACAAACACTTCACTGTCCAGCAGCAGTGCCTCCTGCAGGAGAAGGGAAGGTATTACACGGAGCCATGCAGCACCCTTGTGCTGACCTTCAGCCACTTGGGACCCACAGACACCATCGTTTGCACTTTTCCAAATGAATGGCTCCTCTCCGTTTACCAGCTCTCCAACATCTCCACTGCCATTTTTATCCATGTATGCCTTTAGTGACAATGTGGCAGAAAAGGGAAAGTTTCTCCTGTTGTCCAAACCAGTGAAAGCTACACCTGTTGAATTCATGTCTTTCATACAGTGTAAAGGCACAAGAGCCTTACCTGGAAAAAGGCAGCCGCTCTGGTGATACTTGAAGTGTGCGCCTCACACAGCATGCTTCCGGGGGTCGGTCTCACCCCAATATCCTACATTCCCTCCATTGTCATTTTCTGGCATCTCTTTCAGAAGATGGGGGCCTTGTCAGAAGATGGGAGCCTGACTTGTCCCTGCATTTCTTTCAGGCCAGTAATGGCTAACCCACCGCAGCTGCCCCACTCCCAAGGAGATTCTCCCTCCTTCCCCAAATTTCTCACCATCTTGGGGCTGTAATAGCTGGGCAGGTAGTGCTCACAGATCTGCACCAGGCACCAGAAGGCTTGCTGGAAAAGACAAGGAGGCCGAATCAGTCACCCTTGCAGGCACATGGTGGTGGTGGGCAGGGCCCAGCCACAGGGGAAATGGGGACCTGCACCACTGGCCCGAGGCAAGCTCGAGCGGAGGGGCACGTGAAGGACTGGAGGCAATGGGAGAGGTGGGGGACCCAGCAAAGGGCTTTGGGCAGGACTCACCTCTGGGGGCATGTGCATGAGCAGCAGGGCACCCAGCGGCCCTTGGGCCTGGCAGTAGCCCTCCTGCGGCCGGTACACCGTGTAGGCCTTCAGCACCTGCAGAAGCCCTTGTTGCCTGGAAGGGAAGGAAGGGAAGGTTAGAGAGTGGCTGGCAACCGGCACATTCTCAACTCACACAATTAGACTGGTGAAATTGAGACGTGGAATGGGAATGCGTTTAAATTTGTATTAAAAGAATGAGTTTTAATACAATAGGCCCCATCCAATTTGATGGTAACAGATGGAATTCCCACTTTGGTTTGTACTGTACTTTACAATAAAACTTACTCCCAACAATACTGTTGCGATTTTTATCACATCAAAACTGAGAGTGAATGAAAAATACAAATAATGGAATGCCTGTAAATATATCAGCACTGCTCTTGGAAGGCAAGTGGACTCAGGTTCATTGATAGAGAGATTGGGAGGCTATGTTTGGGTTGCGCAGAGAAAGGTAGGAAAGACCCTTAATGAAATCCATAGGCCCCCTTTCTGGCTCCCTCCTCCCCATCTATTGATGCATTTAAACCATTTCTATAGCACCCTTCATCAAGTCAGAGTCCAGGGTGGGATGCTACAATATAGATAATGTCTTGTTTAAAACTGGATCTAGTGCAATAAAACATGAAGACTAACTCACTGGAAGAAATAGGAAGAGACACTCCTCCAGGATGGGAATCACTAGCTATTTATTATAATGATGAGGGTTTCAAAGGTGAGTATAGCATCCTGAATTTGCCCAGATACAAATGAGCAAGCAGCCCTGCCAGCACCAGTGCACCTCCTCCCCGTGCTGTCAGAATGAGGTGGGAAGCCCCAAGCCCTGCCAGAACCGCCCGTGCCTCCTCCACACCCAAGGACTAACCCAGCTTTCCGGGGTTGACTACTGATGTGAGCTCTTCCCACTTGATCCTGGCTTTGTTAGCCCAGGGCCACCATCTTGCAAGGCCCCACGTGGGCATGGGGGAGAGCAGCTGTTTTACATGCATACAGTCCCCAGCTGGTCTCTTGTCTCTCCAGTTCAAAGGGTCAGGTTGCCAGGGCTGGGGGCACAATTCATGGCCTGAGGCACTGGAGAGCTGCTGCTACTTCAAAGTGGCCACAGGAGGCAGGAGGAGACAAGAGTTTGGCCTGGCTGAGGCAGGGATGGTCTTCAGGGTAGGCATGTTTGGGCCCCGTCCCCGGGTCCACAGCCCAACAGGGGCCCACTGAGAAGACTCTGCCGGGGCTTTCTCCTCCTCTTCATCATTGCATCCTGCTTGCTCATTGAGCTAGGCAATGATGGTGAAGGGGAGGGTGGGGGATGCCCACGTGTGTCCTGCTGGCCCGGCAAGCGGAGGAGCAGGGGGAGCCATGATGAGAAAGAGCAGGAGCAGCAAGAGCCATCAGGGAGCAGGCTAATGAGGTTGCCTTGCCCATGGGCTCTCAGGGCAGGTAGCTTCCCATGTTCCTATAGCACTAACGGGGCTTCAGAGCTCAGGGACCCAAAGAAAATATTGCAGGGCAGTTCAAAAGGCAGTCCAGAAGTGAACACACTCAAAACCTACCCAGCAAGAATAAAAAATATTTCAAAGAGGGATCAGAATAAAGACTCTTAAGCTCCCTCTTGGGGGCAAAACTCCTTGGAGGCATTCTCATCCCAGATTTATCTTTCACTTGCTTTCCTGATAAGCAGATGGAATTGCAAACTGTACTTTCACAGAAGTATCAATTTGCATCTATTTCAAAATCAGTTAAAATGCAGCCTTTGGGCCTTTCCATGTGTAATCTTTCCTGGCCTTTCTGCAAATGCCAATATATCCAAGGGGAAAAGGGTCATACCAACTTTATTATAGAGCTACAGCATAGAATTAGTACTCCAAGCCAGATAGAATTGGCTACAGGGTCACAAACTGTATGCAGTTTTTTAATTGCAAGTGACAGAATAATGCCAAAACGTGGGGTAAGAAAAAGAAAGCCCTAAAATAACAAATATAAAGCTTTCTACTCCATCCCTGGTTCTAAAGAAAGAGCATGCCAATTACATTGTTTACTCCACGTTATAAATCTAAAAAGTATGACATTTGTTTTTTCCATTATATGATGTCAAGTTTTCCGGGAGATGTCAGCTGTACTCTGTGTGATGTATCTATGTATGTATTTAAACTTGTGTATACCGTCCCATCACCGACATCTCAGGACAGTTCACAATAACAATAATAAAATAAGATAAAAAATAAAAGCAGCACAGCATCCAATAATAAATATAAAACCACAATTAAGACCATTAGCAATTAAAATAGTGGGGAAATAACAAGTGCTGTATGCACAGTGCTGAGTGCAGTGTAACTCCAGCTGCTGCCTATGCAGAATTCCCATTAAAGACATCGGGACTGCCTTGCTGCAAGATAAGTTCCACTCATTTATTTTCTTCCTGTCATTGTTTTCATACCCCACCTTTTTCCTGCAAGTCACCCAGTGAGCTTCATGGCCAGGTGGGGACTAGAACCCAGATCTCCTTGGTCCCATTCAGCACTCTAACCACTAGACCACACTGACCCTTTTTCCTGTCTCTTGACACTGGCCAGCCAGATGCCTCTAGAAGATCAGGCAGAGTATGATAGCTCCCTGTTTGCCTCTATTAATTTTAACTGAATATAGCTTCTATTTTTCTATCATGCTTGCAGAACCCAATTTGATGTAGGGGTTAGAGTAGAATTGGGAAAATTCAAATCCAAATTTCCGGACAGACATGAAATTCACTAGATGACTTTGGACTAGTTACCTAACTCACAGGGGACAAGATGGTGGGAGAACCATCAATGTTTCCCTTGCATTCCTTGGAGGAAATGTGGAATTCATTATTTGTTGTTTTTTCTCTGGAGAGATTTAGGCAACTTGGATTGGCGCAGCAGAGCTTTCAAGTTTGTTATCTAATGTATAAAGATCATGTTCTTGATAAATTATCTTTATAAATTAGATAATGAAGCATGTCATAGCCAAAACTTTGTTTTCATTTATGAGATCTAGAGATTTCCGTGAATTTAATTTTTGCTCACAAAACATGCACACGTGCCCTTTGGGAAGCACTGGACACAAATGAATGCACACTGGAAAATGCTTAAAGAGATGAACATGCACTTGTGTTCATCTCGTTTCTGATTCCTAGTTTGATGTGCACAAATGTTTTCCATAGATTGAGCCACGTTCATCTATGGAGCAAAGTTATGCAAATTTGGAAAAGATCGTGCAAAACTCCCATTCACCTGGAGCTCAGTTTGCTCGGATTTCTTGATTGCACAGAGCAAGAAGTGAATGGCGATCAGGCATGAAAGGAGTGGTGAGGCAATATTCTGGAAACCTCAGGGCTCCCAACCGCCATTCACTGCCCATCGCTAGAAGCCATGCTTGGAGATGTGTCCCTCTCACCTCTCTGTTACTAAAATGGGTTAATAAGAACATGGGGACTAGCTCAGACTGTTTGTTCATCCAGCTCAGCCTTCCCCAGCTCGGTGGCCTTCGGAGACGTTTTGGCCCACAGCTCCCAGAATTTCCATCCAGCAGGGCCATTGCCTGGGAATCCTGGGGTGCAGTCCAAATGTGTCTAGAAGGCATAAGTCTGGGGAAGGCTGATCAAGCTCGATATTGTCCTGTCTGTGTTGCAGGGACTCTTCCGGCTTTCAGGCAGAAATAGTCCTCCTTCTACCCCACCCTTTTAGCCAGAGGTGCCCAGTACTTTCTGCTGCGCTCAAAGCAGTGGATCTTTCCTCAGCACCAAGGTACATACATCTGTTCAACTGCAGGATGGGTAAGGGCCACCTTCCAAGAAGTCTATTTAAAAATAAAAGCAGAAATGGTTGCTGCAAAGAATGGAAGCTCCTCTACTTACATTCACCCCGGTTTCATTTTAAGCACTAACCAAGTTTTCCAGTTTTCCAATAGAATTCACTTGCCCTCTAAAGCAGAGATGGAGAATGTGTGGCCCTCTTAATATGGGGACTTCAGTTCCCATCAGCCCAAGTAGCCAATGGTGAGGGATGATGGGAGTTGCAGTCCTACAATACCTGGAGGGCCACATCAAGGAAAAAACACAAAAGAACAATCTGAAACATATGGGTAACAAAGAGGACGACTTTGAGAATAGATCTTTATCTTACCTTCCCCAAAACAAGCAGGTTTCCTCAAACAACACATGCATTATTTCAGAATCTAATTCAGATCTCCTCCTTTTCATCACCCCTCCCTTCACACTGTAGGTTGTTTGCCTTTTAAAATCAATTTTACCAATGCTGTCTTGCTCTTTTATCTGATTTTAATATTTGCTGGGTGTGTTAAACAAATAATCATTGGTTTCTTCAACTGTAAAAATTGGTTGGGGAAAACCTTTTAAAAGTGGAGTTAAAAGGAAAAGGCATTCTCACCTATGCGTGGCTGACTTCTAGTTGAGATGTGGGGGTGGGGTGAGAGAAAACCTGCAGCAGACCTTGTTTTGCATGTCTTCTGGATGCACCCAGGACCAAACCCCAGGTACAGTTCCATGCGCTAAATATAGCTGTTTGTAGACATCCTTTAATCAAGGCCAACAAATAAGGGAGTCTCTTTGACTATTTTAAGCGCAATATTATATTTTTAAGGTTTTTGGGGTAAAATTTCCATTAGTGGGTAGTATAGAAATGTGATACATGAATATTTTTTCACACTGCATTGCTCCAGTCCTGAAGGGCAGGGAGTTTTGTGTGTGGAAACACAGATGTTTCCCGTAAATGCAACAGCTGCAGCAAGAGCTGGTGGAGCATTTCATCTGGAGGTTTGTACCCAGTGTATAGCTATATAATAGTCTGGCCATTGCTACTGTTACCATAGAAGAAGCTTATTAGTGTCTGACAGGCCCCCTTTGCCAACTGGATTGCCTATGATGGGAATGGTGGCAAGCAACCCCTTCCCCTGCAGTACCATAATACCATTTGATTAACCCTTGTCTTGTCTTTTGAGTTTTTTAACTTCACCACACATGTTGGGGGCTCTAGAACCACCATAGCTCACAGTCTGTGTGTAATTTACACACAAGTAGACCTACAGCCTCGTTCTTCTAGGACAGTGTCACCATCTGCCTAGTCATAAACATGCCTGGGATTACAAAAGGTTCCCAAAATTGGTATAAGAAGAGTTTTGTGGGGTACTTTTGTAATCCCAAACAAAGAAATAATAGACAGTTACGTGCAGATCATTTTAGTCTCTTTTGAAAGCCAAGAGGTTGAACTCAAACCTGTAGCAAACAGAATTACAATCTATGGAGGAAAAGATTTTTATGCTGGTTTAAATTTGAAGGCCAAACTACTGCTGTGCAGAGCAAAAGTCAATAGGTTAAACATTGCTTTGCCGATTGTATTGCAATACATAGCTTCAGGGAAGCTTAAATGTTAATTACACATAGTTTCTGAATGCTGAAAGCCATTCTCATGCTGACCAAAACTTTCTGCACTTTCAGCAAAAACAAAGGCCTTTCATATGTAGCATTTTCCTTCCTTGCTTTTGTCTGGGGTAACAAAATGACCCCAAATGCAACTAATATATAGTTTCTTATTGATATGCAATGACCATTAAAATTTGTGTACTCTCCCTCTACAGTACTGGAGTGTACAAGCACCCTGATTCTGGTTTTTTAAATATAATGTGAGCACTATATTGTAATATAAACTACCATTCTAACATTATGTAGCCTGCCCAGCCTTCTCCTTTTGAAGGCAGCAGATACACAGTTAACATTTTATTAAGTGAACAAATGTGATCTGCTGGAAGGTCTTCTACTCAGCATCCACAGCTTCTAAACCCTGTGGAGATTGATTCAAAATGAAGCTAAATACTAGAGCCACGCTGGATCAGACCAAGAGGTCACCTAGTCCAGCATTCCAGTGATCTGTCTCTTGTCTTCGTGCTCCTAAGCCTCTCACTCACCCAGGCCCCTCTGGTGACAGGAACATCTCATGGAAGGGGAACTGGCGATGAATGTCCTTAGTGATGGTCTCTACCCATTGAGGGTCACCAGGTACTTCATGTAGTTCCTGCAACATCAGAAAATAAAGTCAGAGCAACCTGGATGGGAGAGCTACTGCTTTAGTACATATTTCTAAGAGGAAGAAGAAGAGAAAGGAAAGAGAAAGAGGCTGGCAGGCTGGCTGGCTGACTAGAGAGAGACAGGGCCTTTCTAGGTGGTAGCCTCATATTTCTAGAACTCTCTCTCAAAGGATGTACATAGGATCCCATTTTTGTCAGCTTTAAGCGGACCTTTGTTTCAGCCAGCATTTTACTAGAAGTACTATGTTAGGTTTTAACCTGCACTTGCTTTTTATTTTGTACCTCCATTTTTTATGTTTTATATTTTTTGATTATATTTGTAAGACACTTTGGGAGCAGCTCCACCTGAAAGGTAGCATACAGCTTCTTAAATAAATTACAACCAAGAGTCTTAGTAGTCCAATCCTATGTATGTTTTCTTGGAAGTAAGTCCTGCAGTGTGGTGTGGTGTGCAGAGTGTTGGACCGAGACTCAGGAGATCTGAGTATTCAGTGTAGCAAGTATAAATAAAAGTCACCCAGGAACAGCAGAGTAATAGATTGCAAACAAACAAAACAAAAGGGAGAATTAAATGAGGTTTTGCAGGAAGAGATGTGAATTAGGAAAAGGAGGCGAGAGCAGAACCTGTAGCAAGTAAGGATCAGAACTGGGTGAGGGCACAGTCAAATGAGGTGTGGCCCTACCTGGTATTTTCCACGGTTCTCCTCCATTTTGACCTGACCTCCGCACAACAGGGGCCAACAGCGGGCACGCACAGACGAAGGGATCCCTTTCCGGCACAGCAGCTTCACCTGAGCCAACAAACCTCGTCAACAAGCAGCGCCCCTGCACAGAGCCCGTCCACAAAGGCCCTCGATCTGGTGCCCTCACAGGGCCAGCAGCCAAGACCGGGACCATGAGGTCTTGGCCAGGTTCCATCTCATCTGGCCTTCCATGCTTTTTGATGCCTGCAGGAAGCCACTGACTGTCTGGAGATCTTAGAGTGAGGAGCCATCAGTATGTCGATGACACTCACCCTTTGCTCTCCTTCTCACCTAATTCAGTTGAGGTAGCAGAAAGGTTAATGCAGGTTTCCACACCCCAGTGTCCTCCCGATACTCCCATAATTTCCTGCCATTATTCCCACTAGGTGACTGGCAGGGAATGATGGGATGTGACATTCAGTATATCTGGAGGGCATCAGAGAGAGGGAGGGCTGCTAAACTGATACCTGGGAGAAGTAAAGCACTGGATGAGTGCCAATAAACTGAAGCTGAGTCCTGGCAAGGTGGAGATCTTGTTGGCGTGAGGATCGTGAATCCATGGAGGAGACATTTAATTTGTTTTGGGTGAGCTTGTCCCTGCAGTCAGTGGGGGCCAATGGCTCCACGGTCAGTGGGCAGTGTATCCACTCCGGGTTTTAGTCTGAACTTTTAAAGAGCTATCCATGGTCCTGACCCAATTTTTATACTACCAGCCTCTACTGCCATCATCCCCCAGTGTGGGCTATGCTGGCTATATTTTGCCACTGGATGCCCAAGTGGCATTGGTGGTGTGGGGAGCGCCTTCCACTAGCTGAAGCAGTAGCCAGCCATGCCCGCTGCCGTAACTGGGACAGTAGTCCGCTGCTCTGCTGACCTCCAGAGTGGATCACCTGAACTTGCTGTACTTGGGGTTGCCTTTGAAGACTTCATGGAAAGGGCAGTTACAGCAAAATACAGCTGCTATCAGGGACCAGGGAGGGGAGCATCTTCTGCAGGGCTTAAACAGCAGTGCCTGCTTCCCGTCCATTTCAGGGGACTGGTGCGCTGTTGCGTGCCCTTGAAGAACTATATAGCTTGGGACCTGGGTACCTGAAGTGACTGCCATTTGATGTTCAGCCCACCCTTCCACAGATTCCTGGTGGGCTTACAAATAGCTACAATTCATTTATTTATTTAAACTTTTCTAGACTATCCCATTACCAAAATCTTGGGATGGTTTAACAATACAAAATGTAAAATAAAACACAGCATCCTAAAAATTCAACTAACTACAAAAACCCCAATTAAAACCATCAGGTCTTAAAACTTTGGGAAAATAAAAAGGTTGGCAAATGACAAACTGAAACCAGTGCAGTACAAATGAGATTGCTGGGCCTCGCCACACACATACAGAGTGTATAAAAGCTGTCAGTGGGATGAAAAACACCAAGCAGCCCGAGAAGAGCAGTATCAGGCGTCTTTGGCTGGCACTGGAAAGGATTGCCAGCTCTCACACACTGCAGGGGTTGTGATAGCATCTTCTTGGTGCCCTCTCTCCCCATCTGAAGCAAGCTTGGCAGGACTTGGGGTGGGGGCTGTCTCGCTTTTGGCCCCCTGCCTCTGGAATGCTCTCTCCGGGGAAGCTGCTCTGGGGCCTTCTGTCAATTTGGCGGCAGACAAAGTCCATTTACATTTCTTCCCCTGGCTTTTTAATTTAATTTCAGGTCTTTTCATTCACCATTTAATTTAATCAATGTTATGTTGCAGTAGTGTCTGCTGGACTTTTCGGTTCTTATTTTTGTCATGTGTTCTCTTTCTTTGTTCTTGAGTGACTTTCTAGCGTGCTAGCATTTTACTGCATTTACGGTGGTTAGCTCTGGAAACAGTATTCCTGAAGGATGGGATAAAAATTCCAGGGAGAGTAAGGGAGAGAAGAAGAGAGCCAGGCTGATCTTAGCTGACTGTACCTCAGCAATCTGGCACTGCTCCATTTGGAGCCATTATCCAGGGCTGTCGCCCTGTTGGGAAGCCGTGCGTGCCTGTGTGTGTATGAGAGAGAGATCGCAAAGAGATAATTTAAGGCTCTGATTAAAGAATACAGCGGAATCACTTGCCTTTCTGTAGCGCCGAGCCATAGTCTTCTCCCAGTGAGCTGTCATGTCCAGCCACTTGGCCTCACGGTGCCGGATGAGCTCAACGGGGAGCTGACCTACGCTGTGCAGGTGAGAAAGAATAGCAAGGCTGAGAGCATCTCCCAGAACGACCTTGAGAAGCTGCAGTGCTCCCCTGTTCCCCTTCCCTCACTTCCCAGCATTTGCTTGCAACATTCCCTTCATGTCTCCAGAGAGGCACCTCACAGGCCATTCCAGGTGGGCTCTGTACCTGGATGGCTCCCATGCACTGCTTTCCTGACCCCCCGTTTTTCTTGCAGTACTAACCCCTGAGGGCACAGCTAGTTGACGGGGAGCTGGATTTTTATAATGAGCTCCAGTTCATTTTGGCAACTCAGCTCTGGCAAGGAGAAGCATTTTCCACAATGTGCTAGCCCATTTCTTTGAAAGCTGGTCTGGCTCATCCTAATTGCTTGATCATATTGTTTTGGGAACCTTGGTGAAAATAAACAAATATTTTGGATGAAACAGCGAGTAACAGAAACAAACAACAATGTCATAGTGAGATATGATCCCTACACAGGAGTGGGGCAGTCATTCCCTGTAGTGATCACTTATCATCTTTAAAAAGGGTGGGGGGTCTTCATCCTAAGACTCCTTTTGTCTGTCTTGAGATGACAGAGGAAGGTCCTCCACAGCCACCTCAGCATCTCTTCCCTTTTTGGTGCAAAGGCAACACCAAGCCGCATCAGACAAGGGCTGGTTTGCAGGATCACAGGCTCATCACAGGTGCTTACGGATGAGGCTTCTCTGGGGCAGGTGTGCCGTGCTTTGTTTATGGAATTTTACAGGGGTCCAGACAATGTTGTTTTCAGTTTGTATTCCTCTGTTTTCCTATTGCTTCTTCCATATCTTCTCTTACCAGAAGAAGAAATCAGCCAATGAAGACAAAATAGTTGCACAACGCCTTCTGACTGTTTGCATGAGGAACCCTCTACCTGCAAGCACCTGAAGTCTGATAAAAGGGATCAGAGCCTGCGGGGTGGGAAATGAGGCACCCGCTTTCTTTCCACTTTTACCATAAGGAGATCTGCCTTGCGGCAGGGTCCCCACAGAATGTCCATCTCGGAAAAGAGAAGGTGCCTTGTCCACCAGTGCTTGCTACGGTGTAGAAAAATGATTCTTCTGGGCAGTAGTGAGAGTGAGAAACATGCGTGGAAAGTGTTCACCTGTCAAAGGCCACAGCTCCTTGGGGGCAATGTGCTGGGGAATGGGCTGGCCCACAGCCAAGATTGCACAAGGTCATCTCTGTTCCCTCTTACTTCTCCTTCTTCTCCACCCAGCAGGGAATAAACGGTTCTCACCAGAGGTCTGAACTTACAGCTTGCAGTGGGCTCTGAAATTAGTCTGAGGGCTAAAACCACAGGCTAAAACCACAGGTTCTCCATCCCTGATGTAAAGCACAGGCTATGATCCAGACTAACCTGGGAGAAAGCTCTATTGAACTCAGTGAGAGTTTCTTATGAGAAGCCATTCAAAGATTGCACCGTGGATAAGCAAACCATGGCTACCTAAGGGTGCAAGCTCATGTATGTTTGGAGGGGGGGAAATCCCAACATTCCCCAGCCAGCCATGGTGTTTAAACCCTGTAAAGTACACAGTGGGAGAGTGCCATTGCACCATTGCACTCACGATCTGCTCTGGGTAGCCACTGTGCCAACAAAGTGCTGGACTAGATAGCCTTTGGTTCGATCCAGCACAGTTCTCTTAAGCTCTTATGCCACAAAGTCTCTCTTTTGGTTTTGCTACAACAAACCAACAGAGCCACCCCACTGGAAATGTTAATGGGTGCAATGCATGTGTCTCCTTTGCAAGCAATCCTGGGAATTGGCCTTCTCTGAGGAGTTGGGGAGGGGGGCTCTCCTGTGCACATAATCCATCAGGGGAAGCCGAGAAAGTGTGAACAGTGCAAAACTGAACCGGCACCGCAGTGCAGATGCAACGGTGATGTAGAATTGCAGGGCTCCTGAGTCCCCTCTGCAGTTCAATGCTTTGCAGATATGCAGAGCCAAGGAAACTTTGCCACTAACCACTGTAACCACCACCCTTGTTGCTATGGTGCGCAAGTTGCCATGGACACAGTGAGAGGATGTGGCTGTGTGGCATTTCTAAAACAGGAAGTGTTAGTTAATAGGTAGGCAAAGGTTTTTCCTATCAACTGCACCTTCTTCTTTACAGTAAATCATATCTCATGTGCGGGCTTATCCCAGCCTACACATACCTCCATTGGGAGTTGACCTGCAAGGTGACTATGGAAGCAATCTAGTATACATTTGTATATATGAGTAATGCTTTACAGAGCTGTCAGAACATATTGGACCAAAGAGAGCAAACGTGTAACCTGAGCTGCATCCAAGTGAGGAAGAAGAAAGGAGACAGCCATTTAACAGAGACAAACTATGTCTACCGGCAATCCAGATTCTAGTTCGCAGGCAGCAGTGGAAGGTTTTGCTGAGTTCTGTTATGCAAGAAGTTAGTCTGGATAGTGTTGAGGGTGATGATGATGAAATAGCCCTTCCTTCCTTTCTTGCTTGCTTGCTTGCGAGTCCACATGTGAAAAGGCTTTGCTAAGCAGTTTCATTTTCACATATCTGTTTTAGTAGCAGCATTTATCCTCCTCCCAATAACAGTCTTAATGCTATAGTGAAGAGCAATATGCTCCTCAAGAGATGCTTGCCAGCCACTCCAAGCTTGACTAAGGAAGCCTCAGAGGGCAGCATCTCCCCACTGCAAAGGGCTTTGAAGTTTCTTAAACCCAAGAACTTGCCCTCCACCCCACCCCACCCCACACCGAGTAGCAGTGAGAGAGAGTAAATGCAACGCAGGAGGGGTGATTTCCCCTGAAAATGTCCACATGCTGGAATCAGGCTTTGAACCCTCTCCACTGCCATGATAGGAATTCTTTAAAAGCTTCCCTTTTAACATGGGAGGGAGAAGGGTAAGGGTAACAGGGAAAGGCAGGGCAGATAGGGACTTGCTGCAGACAGACGGTTCCCCAGTCTCAATGTACACAAATCAGCTGGTGAAGGTTTTAGTGCAGCAACGAGCTGAACATGACCAGATGCTCGTTGCTTCAAATCAAACTGCTGCGGAAGGGACAGCAACAGGAGCTGGTTCAGAAGGTGCCCATCCCACTGGAATGAGGAATCTGGTAAAACACTTTGCTATCCCAGGTTCCAGTCTGAATGGTTGTCCCACCCTCCCTCTCTTGGTTGCAACTTGCAGGAGTTACAGTTTAAACCATCCAGAGGATACTAGTTTGCTTAACCGACAACTAACACCTTACCATTTCTCAGTAAAGTGGGGCATTTGAGATTCTAGACCGAGTGCTCAAAGTGCAGATTAAGTTGGCAGGTCTCTAACCTGCAACACCTGGTTTAGTTTCACCAAGAGAAGTAAAAGACACAAACGTCATACATAGCCCTATCTTAGTTGGGGTTTGGAGTGACACCAGGCCATATCTTAAATGATAGCTATTACCATTATCTGCCTCAGCACAGCCAGAGAAGTAGCTGAAATTGCATTGCACTGCAACAAGGGAAAGTCACAAATACATGAATGGATAATGAGATAAATCAGCACTGATTGCCCTACTGGCTGGTCTATTATCTGTGTAAATCTGACAGTCTGAAGGAGTATTTAGGGATACTGAACTCTGAATCAGAGTTAATTGCCTTTGCCCCAGAGAAAACAGTTTAGTTGCTGTCACCCTGATTTAACATGTCTGATTTACCTGATTTCTACAGGTAGAAACAATTTTCCATCCTTATGCAAGCAAATGAATATATCCACATGTTCGTCCACTGCTTGGTTCATCCAGACCTCACTGGAGCTGGGTGTTTTCCTCTGTCTGTCTGTCTGTCTGTCTGTCTATCTATCTATCAGGTGTGGATAATTTAAGCTGATGCTAGGGCTCTTATATAATAAAACTGGGACCAGGTTATATTTAATACTGTCTGATGTGAATCATTATCTGTAGGAAAAGGCAAAAGAGATCCAGTGTTTTGAGTAACAGGGATCTTAACCCTCTTTGCTTTTCTCCAAAAATAGTACCCTTTTGCATTCTCCCAAATAGCCGCTATTTGTTTAAATTCAACATGACAGAGTGCATGACATTTCTTGTTCCCTAACCCACAAATTTTCTCCTTCTACAATTACCAGTATGTCCTTGAGTTAAACTAAATGTGAAGACTCATTAGTCATTAGGTTTTTACTCACTCATCTTAAATTGAATTTTGTGCTACATTTATTTATTTATTTATTTATTTATTTATTTATTTATTTATTTATTTCTGGGAGAATGGCACTAGCAGAAACACTGAGTGGTGCTGTCAGGGCAGGACTTTCGGGCACATGTCTAGGGCCCTACTCAGCAAGAGAGTTCCCAGCATGAGCTAACAGGGTAGCCTACAACATTTTGAAGTAAAAGGGAGCCCTTCTTGGAAGCACATTGAGTCTAGAATGTAACAGGTTAGGAACAGGATAGGGCAGGGTACCGGATCCAAATTGGTGTCACCTAAGTTGGTTGAACTCCAACTCCTAGTATCCCCAAGTAAGTATGACTAGCTGGAGATGGTAGGAATTGGAGAGCACCTGCTGGGGAAGGCTAGGGCAGAGTATAGCAGTGCAACTGTTGACTTTTCCCCAGGATGCTTATCACTCCTGAAACACCTGAGTAGTTGATCTTCACTAATGACCTTCCATCTGTGCAGTTCACTGGAGAAAAGGTCAGGATTTAAATTAAAGCAGCCATGGGTGGGCTCACTGTCTCACAGTCCTTTTTCTCCATCTATTAAGTGTTTATGAAATTATCCCTTCCTTTGAGTTAAATCAACAGGATGTATGGATTATCGTGGAGATGTGTGGATATAGCTACCCAGGAAAGAATGAACGTATTCAAAGTACAGTGCTTGCTATATGCCGGAAACCTATGAATATTGCAAACTGGCCCTGCCAAAAATGCCTGGCCCTGCCAAGAGTCTAGAAATAAATATCTTGAAATGGTCTTTCCTAACTTGTTGGTCTCCAAATATTTTCAGATGACAATTCCTGGCTCTAATAACTATCTGCCTTGCTGGCTGAGGCTGACAGGAGTTCTAGTCCAAAACATCAGGAGGGAGAAGACTATCTTTGGGAGGAATAAAAGCTTTCTGAAATCTGGAGAACAGATTCCATGTGTCCCTCTCAAAAACCACACTCATGCACACTAAAGCATCCCCACCCAGCTCCCCTGGCGGGCTAGTTGTCCTTTCTTACCCATTCTGGAGGCTGCTGCCCCCAATAAATCCATAGCGATCAGTCTGGCGATATGGAGGCATCCCATTCAGCTCTGAGTCAGAGCCAAGGGAGCTGACATCATCCCGCAGGGAGAAATCAAAGGCATCTGGTAGATCAGCCACGGCTTGGCTTACGTCAAGGGTCTCTGCTGAGAGAGAGGGGTCTGACATCCTTCCCCAGTGGGAACTCCCAGACCGATCTGGCTTGTATATCCTGCTCACTTATCTCATGCTGGTTAGCGCTGGGCCCTGGGCTTTGCCTCTGAGCAGCGCAAGACACCTTGTGTCTATGGATGCGTCACTCGTCACTCTTGTTGTGACTGAAGTTCCGCACAAGCTATTTCCTCCCACAACCATTTCCTGATGCAACAGGCCACCCCAGTGTACTGCTGCAAAATGCCGAAAGAGCTTCAACTACCGGGCGGTATAGAAATTAAATGAATAAATATTGCAAGAGCACTGCAAAATGGGCACCGGGGAGGGGAGCAAGAAAGGGTGGCAGAGAGCAGTAAATACTGGAGGTCCTCCAGGCTGTTTCTGAGAGGAGCTTGGAAGGCAGCAGACACAACCCCAGCTGATGCCCTCACTTGGTCTTAGTGTCCCAGCCGCTGTAGGCCTGAGTATCTGCCTTGCCTAGGCGCATACCTTGCATTCTGCAACGCCCCCTGCTGGACACTTATGAGTGTAACTAATTTTTACCTTTATATTGTTCTCTCCCCCTTTATATCCTCACAACATATATATATATATATATATATATATATATATATATATATATAGAGAGAGAGAGAGAGAGAGAGAGAGAGAGAGAGAGAGAGAGAGAGAAGAAAGAGACTGACCCAGAGTCACAGAGGGAGCTTCAGTGGTACATGGGGATTTGAACCAGGGTCTCCTCAATCTCCGTCTGACACTGTGTGCGCAACATCACACGATCTCTGTCACAGCCTGGCTGCTGTTGGCTTGCAGGGCTCACATTCCAGGCATGGGCAAGGCCAAAGACAACAAGGGTGAGAACAAAATACCAGCCTAATTCAGCTTAAAGTTCTTGCTGCCACTAACTAAATTTCACAAGCCACATTTTAGAATGGGGGAAAACTTGCACAATGATCTCTGGTGGGAGAAAGCAGGTGAGGTCAGTGCAAAGAGGCATGGCCTCCGAGGGACTCTGCACCCATGCTGAATGACCACGGCCTGCATGCATAAGCCCCCTTACAGCACAGGACACCAGCTGGAAGATGCTGAAAAGAGAGTTGCTGCTGCAGACCCTTTATCCTAACCCTCTCTAGGAGAGACAGAACCTTGTGTCACCAAAGTGTCCCCAAAGATTTCATGAAAGGCTTCTGTACAGTCTTTGCCATAGCTGAAACGTTCCCTCAAGATGCTGTGATATGTCTTCTTAAGAAAATGTAGGTAGCTGTTGTGGGAATCATGATTTACTTCCCGTCAATTAAAAGAGTCAGGTTTTTTGTGTGCATTTCCAGCTGGGTTTGGAAAACCCCAGCTAAGGCAGTGCCACCTTCTTGTGCATATTTCCAAATGGAAGGCACGCACTTATCTGAAGACATTAGCATGCCACCCACATGGAGACAGGCCTATCAGGCATATCTTTTTTTCATTCTGCAGTCATTGTGGCTTCTGCATCATGTGTACCTAGAATGATGTGGCCACAGTTATAATATTCTGTAGAATTCTAGAGTTGTATCTCAAAAAGAATACTGTAGATAACCAAGGGGCAGAAGAAACTCCCCTGTGAGGAAAGACTACAACTTTCAGGATGGTTAACTTAAAAAACCAGTGAGCAAGGGAAAAGCTGACAGAAGAATACAAAATTATACAAGGTGTGGAGAGAGTGGAGAAGGAGAGATTTTTCTCCTAGTCTCATAATACTAAAATCCAAGGGGATCGTTCCATGAGCTGTTTGGTGAGAGATTCAGGACACATAAAAGGAAGGCCTTCTTTTACCTCCCCACTTTTTATTATTTTTTTGACAGAAAAAACCATACATACAAAACTTCACAACAATTATATCTGGTTATAATATAACATAACCAGAACACAATAATTAAGAAAAGAATAGATGATAGAGTGCACCCACCACCCCGGAGACCAGTACTACCACCATTCACATACTATATCAATTAATAATATACTTCAATTATACCCATATCCCCTCCAGAAATTCATATAATCTTGATTGGGTTTACAGCCTTTGCCTTCTATCAGTACTGCTTTTACAAAATCTTCCCAAATTTCTTTATATTTGCTTTCAGTAACCCTTTTAAAATTTTTATTCCTGTCGTCAGTTTTTCATTAATTACCATATTCCATATTTCTTTTATATATTTTATTAAAATTTTTAAACTAACACTAAAAAAATCAAACATCACAAACATTAACATTGGATTCACTGGGTCAGCCTTCTACTACATATTTTTTAACATTCTAATATCAAATTCCAGTTAGTTTATCATAGTTTGAAAAACATCTCTAAATTTACGCCAAGTCCCGTTTCTCCAGCCAATTATAAAAAGAGTCCCAAGTTCGATAGAAATCAGTATCCTCTTTCTCCTTCAACGATAAAGTCAGTCTATCCATTTCTGCACAGTCCAAGATCTTTCTTAGAATCAATCCATCGGTGGGCAGCTCCTCACTTTTCCAATACTGAGCAAATGCAATCCTCGCCGCTGTAATTAGATGCAACATCAAATAGATTTCCTGTCTGTTAACATCTTCCGGTATAATGCCTAACAAGAAAACTTCGGGTTTAAAAGCAAAGGGTTTTTGTAATATTTCCTCCATCCGTCTATGTATTTTAATCCAGTACTTTTTTGCGTTGTCACAAGTCCACCACATATGATAAAAAGTCCCCACTTTATGTTTATATCTCCAACATCTATTTGACATATTTGGAAACATCTTAGCTAGTTGACTTGGTGACAAATACCATCTATAGAACATCTTATAAAGAAAACTTATATAAAAAGTTGCTAAAGTTACATTAATATTTCTTTCCCATAGTTTTTGCCACTTTTCTAGTTCAACATTAAATCCAAAGTTTTGTGCCCATTTTATCATAGTTTCCTTAACCTGTTCTCCTTCCATTTTCCCGTCAAGTAAAAAATCATATAGTCTTTTAATAATTTTCTCATCTGTTTTAAGCATCACTTGATCAAATTGTTAGGTCTCTATAGAACCCCCATGTTTTACAATCCTTAGCATACCTTGATTGCATCTGCACCTTATACCACCAGGAAATATTAAGCCCCTGTTCTTGTATTTCTTGCTCCAGTTTCAGGCCACCATCCTTATCCAGAATATCGCCATATCTTATGATCTTTTCAAAGTTCAATACATTTGGATATACAAAAGCTTCCATAGGTGAAACCCATCTTGGTAACTTATTATACAGTTTTAGCTTTAGTTTTTCCCACACTGACATTAAAGATCTTCTAATAAAATGACTCAGACATGACCCATGTGACTTAGCTTTTTCATACCACATATAAGCATGTCATCCCATCTGCAAGTCATGACCTTCAAGATACAAAATTCTCTTATTTTGTGATGTTACCCATTCTTTTAGCCAAGTTGATAATACAACATCCAGATACAGACGCTTGTACAGACGCTTGATAATACAGCATCCAATCAGGAAGACCAAAACCTCCATTTCTTTTAGCTTCCTGAAGCATTTTTAATTTAATCCTTGTTTTTTTTCTCCAGATAAATCTCAAGATATGAAAGTTTAAGTCATCAAATAATTTTTTATCAATTTTTATGGGAATCATTTGAAACAAAAACAAAAGTTTAGGTAATATATTCATTTTAACAAGAGCTATTCTTCCCATCAAAGATAATTGTAAATTGGCCCATTTTTCCAAAAAGCCTTTAATATCCTTCAATAATTTATCATAATTGTCTTCTTTCAAGGTAGTACATTTAGCTGTAAGATAGATTCCCAAGTATTTAACCTTTTTAACAAACCATATTCCATAATTCATTATACCATTCATGCCTTCGCAAAACCCAATTCTGTTTCCAATATTTAACTATCACTAGCCTAACTGCCATTATCCTACTTACAATCCTTCCTTACCTTCATTTATATCTTGTTTTTCTATCAACAGTAATAGCACCATTCTCAGTGACATTTCTAAATCTGTATCTAAAATTCCTCCAATTTCCTTAAATACCATAATCCAAATCTTTTGTATATTTTCACAATCCGGTCTGGTCGAACTGTGGAATGGAGAGATGACCAGGGCTGCGGACATGATCGCTCCTAAGCGTCCTCTCCCACCGGGCAGAGTCCGCTCTTCCCCTTGGTATACACCTGAATTGTGGGCGATGAAGCAGGTTGGGAGACGGCTAGAGCGTAGGTGGAGGAAATCACGGGATGAATCTGACCGAACACACTTGAGAGCCCACTATCGGGCCTATGCTGTGGCGGTGAAGGCGGTGAAAAAGAAGTTTTTTTCCGCTTCCATTGCCTCCTCACAATGCCGTCCGGCGGAGCTTTTTCGAGTGGTGCAAGGCCTGGTTCGCCTGGGTCCTAAGGAAGATCCGATGCCACCCTCAAAGGCCCGCTGTGACGACTTTGCCAGGCATTTCAGGGAGAAAATCGCTCAGAATCGTCACAAGCTGGACTCCACTAATGAATCAGAGGTCTCTGAGGAGTTGCCAATGCTACCGTCTGGTCCAAAATTATTGGAGGAATTTCAATTATTGCGGCCCAATGATGTGGACAAGGTGCTTGGAAGAGTACGTCCCACCACTTGCCTATTGGATCCTTGCCCATCTTGGTTAATAAATAACTCCAAGCATGGGATTGGGACCTGGATCTTGGAAGTGGTTAACGCTTCTCTGAGGGAGGGGCGAGTGCCTGCCCCTTTAAAGGAGGCGGTAATACGACCGGTCCTGAAGAAAGCGTCACTGGATCCAGAGATGGCCACTAACTATAGACCTGTGGCCAACATCCCGTTTCTGGGCGAGGTGTTGGAGCGAGTGGTGGCGGGACAACTCCAAGCACTCTTGGATGAAACTGATTATCTGGATCCTTTTCAATCCGGCTTCAGACCCGGGTACAGTACTGAATCTGCCTTGGTCGCCCTGTACGACGACCTGTGCAGGGAGAAGGACAGGGGGAGTACATCCCTGTTGGTTCTTCTGGACCTCTCGGCGGCTTTCGATACCATCGACCATGGTATCCTTCTGGATAGACTTGCGGGATTGGGGGTTGGAGGCACTGCTTTGCAGTGGTTCCGCTCCTATCTCAACGGTCGATTCCAGAAGGTAGTGCTGGGGGACCATGTCTCTACGTCATGGCAGCTATGCCATGGAGTACCACAGGGCTCCATTCTATCCCCTCTGCTATTTAACATCTATATGAAACTGCTGGGAGAGGTCATCAGGAGGTGTGGGCTGCGGAATCATCAATACGCTGATGATACCCAGCTTTACCTCTCATTCTCCACTAATCCAGGTGAGGCAGTGGCTGTGCTGAACCGGTGCTTGGCCGAGGTAAGGGAATGGATGAGGGCCAATAAACTGAAACTCAACCCAGACAAGACGGAGGTCCTGTTGGTTGGTGGATTGGGTTTCGGAGAGGGTGGATTTGACCTGGTCCTGAATGGTGCAACACTCCCTCTTAGGGATAAGGTCCGCAGCCTAGGAGTACTCCTCAACCCGGAGCTTTCTTTGGAAGCTCAGGTGACAGCGGTGGCGAGGAACGCCTTCCTTCAGCTTCGGCTGATTAATCAGCTGTGCCCCTACCTGGAGTACGACTGCCTGGCGACGGTGACACACGCGCTGGTGACTTCCCGCCTAGACTTCTGTAACGCGCTTTACGTGGGGCTTCCCTGAAGACAGTCTGAACACTTCAATTGGTGCAAAATAGAGCTGCCAGGTTGCTGACGGGGATGGGGCGTTATGCTCACATGACTCCAGTCCTCCATCAGCTTCACTGGCTTCCCATTGAAGCCCGGGCCCAATTCAAGGTGTTGATTATGACCTATAAAGCCCTAAATGGCTTGGGTCCTGGCTACCTGAACAAGCGCTTATGTCCGTATATGCCCGACCGCCCTTTGAGATCTGCGGGAGAGTCCCTTCTCCGGGAACCCTCCATGAAAGAAATTAGGAGAGTAAGTACCCGGAGGAGGGCTTTCTCTGCGGTGGCACCCAACCTATGGAATTCACTCCCCAAAGAGGTCCGCCTGGCACCGTCGTTACTGGTTTTTCGGCGCCAGGTAAAGACCTTTTTATTTAAACATCATTTCAATTGTTAAAACATATGATCTGGCCAGGGCAACTTCTTCTTCCTTCTCTTTCTCCTCCTATATTTTTATTTTATACTGATAATTTTAATTTTATATTTGTAAATCAATGTATTTTTTGTATTTTTGTATTTAATGGTAATTTATTATGTACTATTGTATTTCAATGTATTTTATCATGTTGTAAGCCGCCCCGAGGTTTCGGCAAGGGGTGGCATAGAAATGTTATAATAATAATAATCCCACCACATGTTTATAAGTTCCAATCTCTTTACATCTCCAACATATATTAGAGTATTTATCATCAATTTGATTTAACTTAACTGGTGCTAAATACCATCTCCATATCACCTTGTATCAATGCTCTTTAATTCTAAAGGGAAGGCCTTCTTTATGCAGTATATTATAAAGTATGGAACTTGCTTTCAGTTTGGATGGCTTTAAAGGGGATTGGACAAATTCGTGGAGGGGCGAGTCAGGACATCATTGGTTAAGTTCTGATAGCTATTTGCTACCTCCAGGATGAGAAGCCGGGTGCCTTGCATTCATGCCCTGCTTGTGGGTTTCCTGTGGGCAGCTGGTTGGCCAGGGTGAATATAATGCTGAACCAGGTGGGCCCTTGCACAGCAGGACTTATGTTCTAATGAAAACTATACTTGCCACCCTTGATGCCACAGGTTCCATGTCAGTTCCTAAATGAACACATTCCTTCTATTTAGAAGCTTTGTAACATGTGATACAGCAGCCCTGAGAGAGTGGAGAGGAGAAAGCCTAATGAATAACTATGAGTGTCTCATCCCCACCCCACACCGTCCTGTCCCTTCCCCTCGGCAGTGTACATTGTTTCAGCTAGTTGTTATCCCTGGAATTGGGGAAAAGAACATGGGTAGTATTTTAGTATTAGAGTCCCATGAAAAGCGGCTTGGAGAAGCCAAATGCAAAAGCCCGATTTCTACTTTGGTGGGTTGATATCCTATTTTAGTGGTGTGCTGCATCAGTGTTTGGATTTGGAAAGAAGTATTGTCCCTTCATCCATAATTTTCACCAGATAAACATTGGGGATAAAGGCACTGGGCTTGCAGAATCGTCTTCAGGAAATGAAGCATTCTAAAACCTTTGGACCTGTTAGCATTATAAGTCTTGCCTATAGACTGCACCTGGGGAGGGGCAGCATTGGGGGCGTCTTGGATCGCTACTTCACCCCAAATTACAGCTCGTTCCTATGCATATTGAGGAAGGAAAAAAGTCCCACAACTGCCAGCATCCCCCGGTTTGGGGAATGTTCGGAGTTGCAAGCTTTTCCCGGTCTCATGCGCAGAGGAGCGCATGCTGAAGGAAGCGGGAGCGACCACAGCTCCCGGAGCCCTTCCGCGCTCTCCTCCCCCTTTGCTGGGAGAGGCCAAGGCTGGCTGGCGCAATCGCAGGAGATCTCGCGTTCCGCGGCCCGTGTTGATCCCTCCAGCCTGCAGGTGGTGGTGGCGGCTGCGGCCGAGGCCCTGCGCGCTCGTGGCTTCCTCTGCTGCTCGCTGTCTTTGGCGGAGGCGTCTCGGCAAGCAGGCGAAGGAAGAGAGCCGGCCCTGCCTCCGCCGCCCGCTTGTTAGGACCACCGAGCAGGCCGGGAGGAACCCAGGCGGCCGCAGCTTCCTCTCCCGAAGAGTGCCGCCATGTCGGACGGCGAGAAGCTCAATTTGGATTCCATTATCGGGCGCCTCCTGGAAGGTGAGCGGCTGGGGCTGGGCGTGGGACGGCAGCGCCTCTGCGTTGCCGGCGGGGATCGGGGCGCCGCTTTGGACTTCCCAGTGCTCCGGGGAAGGCGCGCTCGGGGGGCTGCCTGCCTGCCGGCCTTCCTGCCTGCCGCTCTCCCCTCCTCCCCTCCCCGCGCTGGAATGCGCCGCAGCGCCCCCGCTCGCTCCGCTGCTCCAGCTCCGGCGCAAAGCGCTCCTGGCGTGCGGGAGTTTTTCCGGTTGGCGGCATGGGCTTGACGCCCCCGCCTGGGACTGGAGGGCGAGATGATGAGCCGTGCGATGCGTGGGCTCCATGCTATGCATTTCCCACCCCCTTCTCTTGCTTACGGCATGTTCTGAAGCTACTGGACGCGGATTAAGTAGCCCTAGAAACTCTTCCCCCTCGAGTCGCCCTCTGCAGTCGAGGTGATTACAAGGGGTGAAGAGACACGAGAGAAGCAGCGCTTCGGCTCCTCTGTAGCACTGATCGTGTTAGGACGGTGGAGCCGCTGGAAAGATTGTAATTGAAGTCCGGTTTTAATGTCTGAGGCCTCCGCTCCACCCTATCTTGGCAGACTCGCCGGGGCTTAACGCTACGTTTTCCGCTGCCGCAAAATCAGCGTGCGTTTCCTAACATAGCTCTCTTGGGAAGTCCGGATGAGGGTCGGGATGATAGGACCCGAAGTGGGGGATCGCCAGGAAAGAGGTCGGAGACGGGGCAAAGAGGGGGAGACGGCTTCCTGAGAAGGGTGTGCCGGAGCCCGTAGGATTTCCGCCAGCAAGAGCTAATTAGCTTTGAGAAGAGCGTTGCTTGATCCGCAGCCTTCCCCAGTGTGGTGGCCTCCAAAAGGGTGGACTACCCCTCCCATCATCTGTAGCTGTGCTGGGGGGTTTAGCCCAACGCAGGAGGAGAGCGCCAGGTTGGCGAAGGCTAGGCCCGCCTAAGGATAATGACCGTCGCGCCTTGGAGGCCAATAGGCAGACCGTTTCTTCCCGAGACCAGAAACTGAGTTGCCCTGCCCGGGCGACCGAGGCGCCCGCCCGTCGTTTCTTGGCAGGAGGTCGCCCTCCTCGTGCTTTGGTTGGCCCCCTCGTGGCCTTGGAGCGCAGGTGCTGGCCCGCCCTCGGCGCTGCTGGACGAGCGGGCCGCGCCCAGCGAGCGGGGTCGGGGTCGGGCCGGGCGGCCCGCGTTCCTGGCCCCAGCAGCCGCGCTTGGCCACGGTCACGGGAGCAGAGCACCCCGCCGGGGCTTATTCGCAGGTGGCTGGCGTGCCTGCCTCCTCGGGATCCCCGCTCTTTCAGGAAGGCGGCTAGCCTGAATCGTGCCCTCCGCCTGGGAAACAATTTGCATTTGTAAACATGCGTTTTGTAATCCTTGCAGCCCAAGCTTAATAGAAGGTCGGAAGCGGACCGAGTCCAGCAGCTCGTTGTTTGTGTTTAACAAACCCAGAGAGGGGTGCTCTATCCTGTGTTTGCCTGGGCAGCTTGGGTGCACTTGAGCCCAGCTGAAGGGGTGTGTGTGTCTTGCCTAGATTATCCTCAGTACTTACCTTGTGACATAGTTCTCACTACCCAGATGTTTGTATGCATAGGGTGTCTGAGAGTGGCATAAGTGCAAAGGCTCCAGCTGTTGAGGCCAAGGTCCCTTGATCTGGGTCGGCAATATTTTCCCAGCTCTGCACAGACTTGTGCTTCTGATTTGCCCCAGATTTCTGCCTGATCAACTAATATCAGTCAGAACCAGTGACTCCAAGAAGACTAGCAGTATGTGGACAGCCAGGCATTTGGGATGTGCTTTGGGACAACCATGTAAACAGCTGGTTTCTAGTGATGTGGGTTTTCTGGGAGATTTTGAATTGGAACATTTTCCCTGTGCAAATTAGGGTAATTTGCATTGGGCAGTTTTCATCGGAAAATGTTCCAGTGCTCTAGAGGGTGATCTAACTTAGCATGTTTATTTTACTTGTTTAGTAAGCAAAGCAAAACAAAAGAGCCCATGTTAATGTTTTGTCTCAATGTACTAAAAGTGTTTGGTCTGAAATATTTGAAGGGGAAGGGAGAGCAATCCTCTACATATCTTTTCAGAAATCCATTTAGTTTAATGGGTTTATTCACAAGAAAGCATGTATAGGAAGGCAGCCTTAACATTTACATTTAGACACTCATGCAGACATTTTAACTCAAATACTCGTACACACCTTATTTAAAGACAGTAGTATATTCAGAGCAGCATATCTCCCTTACATCGTTTAAGTTTATGGAAAACCTAAAGGAACCGAAACTGTTGACTTTCATTAGTCTTAGGCCCTTGAAGAACTGTGCATAATATGCTGACACCCAGTTATATATTTTGGCTTTCTTCCACTGAGGTCTTTAGGTCATTTTCAGTTTTGCTGTCACCATTTATTAGGTCCATTTTATTTTGAGACATATCTGTATTTCAATGGCATAACTGTATTCTCTCATCCTTGTTAGACATAATTTACTTAGATTAAATTACAACTTTGAAACTGTCACGCTTGCCCAGTATTGCATTTGCTGTTGGCATGCATTCATTGCCACTAATGAACTTACAAAATGGGCAATTTTCTGTGGGAATATAAAGCCCTGGAACCATTTCCATCCTGCACTGCTGCCTGTTCCAGATTTTTGGAAGATGGCGGTGGGATCTTAGTGATGGCATTACTATCAGTCCTAAGCATTCAAGTCTCCTGTACCAGTGATTTTCAACCTTTCCACGGCTGTGGCCTGACGAAAACAGGAAAACCACCTTGGGGACCGCTGAGGCAGAAACAAAAAGCACCATACACATAATATAATATTCTGTGTATTGGTTTCCAAACACAATACTGAAAAAAAAATTCTCCAAAACAACCAGGAACCAAGCAACAAAAAATGACAACAAAAGAACAAAATACCAAAATTGGTGTAGCATGGCTCCCAGCCAGCTCCCACCCAGCCGTCTCTCTCCTCCCTGGCCCCCTTGGCAGTACTGGCGATGCCTACCAAGGAGGAGGTGGTGGAGCACAGCCAGACCCTGTGCCGGTCCATGTGAGCAGGATGCAGCCCCCCATGAACTGGCAGGAAATCTCCCACAGACTGGCGGATGAAAAGCACTGTTCTATACTACCTCTGTCTGTTGATTCAGCTTGCTTCTCTGTGCTGCTTTTACCCCTATGAGCGTGGACAGAGGTGGTGAATATTATAGCAGATGAGATCATATGCTGTGTGTGTGTGTGTGTGTGTGTGTCGGTGTGGCATTGCCTATAGAGAGGGCTTCCACTCTTAAACCTGTAGTACTGGATATGATAAGGTAAACATTCGAACCAGTCCATGGAGGTTGATGGGTCAGAGAATGGCAGGGGAGGACAACCTGTGGTTCTCCAGATGTTGTTCAACTCTTTTCAGGCAGCCAGCATTGCAAATGTCAGAAATGATGTGGGTTAGCTATACATTGAGGTGGCCACAGGATGGTCACCCATTAGATGAACTAGTCTCACCTTCCCCAGCCTGACATCCTGCTATCATCCCCAGCCAGGAGCCATGATGTTGTCCCATAGAGTCCCATGACATTTGCAGGGTGACAGGTTGTCTGGGTTAAACTTTTTTCTGGCTTGCACACAGGTGCCTTGGGAGACTCCGACTTTGCTGTGCACAGACTCTCAGTGGGTTGCTGGCCTTGTGTGTGGTGATGAGTTACACGGGTGCTGTGTAGATGTTGCACTAAAGCGAGTAATGTGAAAGTGCGGTGCAGCACTGAAGCTTTCCATGTGTCACCTGAGTGCTGCCTAGGACTTTACCCCTTGAGGTCTGCAGGGCCTGGGGACCTCTGTGGAGCTGGCCTTGCATGCCCTGGAGGCTGCCTTGGCCGTTTCCAGTCCTGGAGCAGTGGCTTTCCTCTGAGGATGGAAAGGAGGACATGACTTTGGAGAGAGCGCTAAGACTCAAAGGGGAATGTGTCGGGGGAGGTGAGGCTTGGTGGGAATTGACTTTAGGAAGGGCACAATGTTGGAATCATCAGACGGCACCCTTTGGTTTTCCAGTGCAAGGTTCACGCCCAGGCAAGAATGTGCAGCTGACCGAAAATGAGATTCGGGGCCTATGCCTGAAGTCACGAGAAATCTTCCTGAGCCAGCCCATCTTGCTGGAGCTGGAAGCCCCACTCAAAATTTGTGGTAAGTCAGTGCTGTTGTTGCCACCCGTTGCCCCTACCCTGGATGCATGTGTGTACTCCGTAGTCTAGGGTAGGGAATGGAAGGGGCACCTTGGCTGCATTTCACTTAGAAATAAAGGAAGACTGTATTCCGGTGCATTCAAAACTTCTTACACTTCCACTGGCACCTCTTTTCCATTTCCACCCTCCCTTCCCACCCCAGGAGACATCCACGGGCAGTACTATGACTTACTCCGACTCTTTGAGTATGGGGGCTTCCCCCCAGAAAGCAACTACCTCTTCCTGGGTGACTATGTGGACCGGGGGAAGCAGTCGCTGGAGACAATCTGCCTGCTGTTGGCCTATAAGATTAAATACCCTGAGAACTTCTTTCTTCTGCGTGGGAACCATGAGTGTGCAAGCATCAACCGCATCTATGGCTTTTATGACGAATGTGAGTGCAAGACCTAATCTGAGCATGCGAGCAGGACAGAGGGAGGCTTTCAGCATGGGGGAACAGGGCAGTGCTCAGAAAAGGTCAGTGTCTTTTCTGACTGTGCTCGTTCAGCCACTTTCCTACTTCTCTGCCTTGCAGGAATGTGGCTACTTAAACAGTCCTTTCTCCTCCTTCACTTCTCCCTTTCACTCGCTTCTCCCTTTCTCACAGGTAAAAGGCGCTACAACATTAAACTGTGGAAGACCTTCACAGACTGCTTCAACTGCCTGCCTATTGCTGCCATAGTCGACGAGAAGATCTTTTGCTGCCATGGAGGTGGGCAAGCCGCTCCCCCCAAAATAAGACAGGAGGATTGGAGAGAAAGGAGAGCAAGGCTGCTCTTGTTGCTGTGTAAACACACCAAAGCGGTGCTGAGCCTTTCTGATAGGTGACAGTCTGTGTGGGTAACAGGAAAGCTGTAGGCAGTGTCAGCTGCATGCTGGGAAATTGAGTGCCTTCTGCATCTTGAGCTGGTGTGCTTTCTTGGGAGCAGGGTAAAATCTTGGAAAAAAGAATGCAAGTGATTGGGAAGGCCATGCAGAATTCCTTTTGCAAGGATTTGCTCTTTATTGTGGAGTTTTAGGGGAAAGCTCTTCTTGAGCTTTTGTCTTCCAAAGAATATGCTACAAGTCAGTGCTCTTAGGTAGGGGAAGGCAGGGAATGGCCTACTTTGTTTTTTATTAGAATCACAAAGTCCACAAACTTTATCTGAGTTACTACAGATAAGGAATTCTAACATACTCTGCACAGCTAGCCAGCCAATGCAGCTGCATAAAGACTAGGTCCCTGGCAGTCAGTTAATACTCACATTTTTACTGGTGAAGAGCACAGAATCGGAGTGAGAAGTAGAAGGCCAAGCATGGCAGATTTTTTTTTTTTTTTAAAGAACTTGTGATTTTGAAGTCCTGTTTTATAAATGAGAACTATTGTGACTTAGAGAGTTTCAACTTCACCCTGGAGCAGGCAAGTCAGTTCGCATAGGAATACAAATTTGTGGCTGCTGTTAAAATAATTAAGGGCAGAGACACATTACTGATCCTTATACATGATGAAAAGTGTACACCAAGTGAACCAGTGGGGCAGAACTGCAAGCTGGACCCAGGGAGTTGCTGGAAAACATGGAGTGCCAGGGGTGTAAGAGGGGGAACGCATGGACCCCACAGGTATGGGCTACTTGAGAGAAAAGCACATGCAGTGCCTTCCCCGTGGCAATCTAACAATTTCCTCCTGTCTTCCAGGACTCTCTCCTGACCTTCAGTCCATGGAACAGATTCGGCGGATCATGAGGCCCACAGATGTGCCCGATCAGGGACTTCTCTGTGACTTGCTCTGGTCTGATCCTGACAAAGATGTCCAGGGCTGGGGCGAGAATGACCGTGGTGTCTCCTTCACCTTTGGCTCAGAAGTTGTCGCCAAGTTTCTGCACAAACACGATCTGGACTTGATCTGCCGGGCGCATCAGGTTGGGGCACTGAGGAAAGGAAGAGAGTATCCTTGGCAGGGCTAGGAGGGAGGGCTCTTGTGCTGTGGGGGGCAGGGAAGTGGCGGGTTCGGGATGGAGAATCATTCTTCCCACCTAAACGATCCATTTGCCCCACCTGACGCTGGGGTTGGCTGGGAGGAAAACAGTCGCACTGGCCAGCCGTGCAGCGTAGGGGCCTGGAGAAGTGGGAATGCGGTGGGGCATCAGCCTGCTCTGGAGATGTGCATATTGCTCCTATAGTGTCGATCATCTTCCCCATTTCCCTCCCCCCAACAGGTAGTAGAGGACGGATACGAGTTCTTTGCCAAACGGCAGCTGGTTACGCTCTTTTCCGCTCCAAACTACTGCGGCGAGTTTGATAATGCAGGTGCAATGATGAGCGTTGATGAGACCCTCATGTGCTCCTTCCAGGTAAAATCTGTGGGACGCGATAGCCTGTTCCGCTGCCTCTCCTTCTGAATTAGAACTTATATTTTGTCTTTTAATGGTGTGGATGCGGGGAGGCGGTATGAGCCACAGGAGGCAGGCCTCCTTTCTGAAAAGAAAGAGGAGGTCTCTGTCATCCAGTGTCCTATGATAGTCACCAAATGGATGTGCAGGAGCTCGGAAAATGCAAACTCCTTAAAATGGTTTGAAGAAGAGGCTTAAAATCATTCATCCATTAAAATGGTTTTATGTATGTTGAATCACTGTGATTGCAACTTGTGTTCTTGGACATAATTAACTTACGTACCAAAGTAGCCAAGCTTTTGGGTAACAATAACTAATCTCTGAATGTGAAATTTGCTTATACTCTTGCACTGGGAGCTGCCTCCTTTTAATTTTCCAAGTAGTTTTTGCCTAGTGTTCACCTAGATTACTGTCCCATTGCAGTTGAGGCAGGAGCAGTGGGAAAAGCCCACAGAATGGTAGTATCTTTGATCTATGCACATCCCTGCCCTAAATATACTGAAAGGAGAGATGAGGATGGCAAGTACAATTATTCGTGGCTAAGCCTGATTGTGACTGCAAGTGTGCAATGGAATTGCAGTTTTCCCCATGAGATAATTTTAGAGAACTGTAAACTTGACAATGGGTTTGGTTTCTAGCTGAAAGTGCTGCTGACTTGCTGCATGCGTGGAACAATGGGCATTGTAATTGGGGTGAGATGAAGGGGAAGGAGAGAGAATTCCTGGAAGATGTGTGGCCCACTGATATGAGTGCACCTCTATTCCGTGAGGTAGGGCCAGCTGCAGCATTCCCTCCTGCTCGTATTTCTCAGGGAAGCACCGCTGTGCGTGTGCTTTTCATATCCATTGCTGTGCTCACAGGAGAAGACAGGTACATGGCCTTTAGGCATGAGGACAGGTCCCTCTACCTGCCTGTGTTGGCCACTCCAGCTTGGGCAGGAGAAGGAACCCCACTCCAGTTTCCAAACCAACATAGTCATCAAAGCACTAAGAGGAGAGAGGGCGAGAAGTGCTCGGTTTCTTTCTCCCAGCCCAATACCCTCAGCAGTGCGCCATCCTGGCTCTCAGCTTGCAAGGGAGGGAAGGGAGGTTGCCCAGCTGGGCCTTCCTGACAGGGCAGCAGCCCCTCTTGCCTATTCATGTGAGGACAATGGGAGCCTCACTGTTTTTGGGACATGGGTGGGAAATTCAGAGGTGGCCAGTTAGCTTGGGAGAACCTAGTCATACATCCGCCAGGTAATTTCCACAGTACTCCTTTGTGGAAGCTGCATTCCACCAGAGGTGAGGCTGGAGAGGCTGCCCGGCATGCGCAGAAACGTAAATCAGGGTGCCTGAGTTGGCCATGTGCTTTGGCCAAGGTTGTGGGGGGAGAAATTTGGTTCCTCAAAGCATCTAATTCTTTCCTTTCCTTCCTCAAACTGTGCAGATCTTGAAGCCGGCTGACAAGAACAAAGGCAAATACGGCCAGTTCAGTGGCCTGAACCCCGGTGGGCGCCCGGTCACTCCCCCACGCAACTCGGCCAAAGCCAAGAAGTAGCTAGCCCTGCCTGTTCCCCGAGCCTGTAGATGTGGGGCCCAGGCTGTCTTGTGTAGCGGTTACACTGTACAGCGGCTGCCTACCTCCCCAGGGCCCAGCCATGTAATTTTTTAAAAATGTCTGATTAAGAATACCAAAAATTCTGCTCCCCTGCGGTGGGGGATGTCTTTATTTTTGGGGGTATTTTTGACTGACTTTTTTGCCAACTTTGTCCTGATGTATGCTCCCCTTTCCCCCATGGGGGTACTGCATCATTTTGAATAAACATGTAAGATTCTTATCTAGCTGCTTCAGTTTATTGTTCTGGGAAAATAAAAGGGGAAGGGGCAGGTTGCTGAGATTTTTTTTTTTTTAATTACACTTTTCATTGAGGCAATGCATTGGTTCTCTCCCTCCTTTTCTTCAAAGTTTGAGTTTGTGAGGGAGCAAACTGAAGACTTAATTCTTCCCAGTCCTAGGGTGTGTATAAATGCCCTAATTTTGGGTAAAACAAGTGAGATGGCCCAGGGAAGATGCTTCTGTTCTTGCAACTTGATCACTTGTGGGAAACAAGTCTCCCTTGAGAGGTGCAGGTGGTGGGAATGGACCAGTTCCGGGTTAGTATCGTCCCTGCATTTGCTTTGATCAGGCCCTGCAGTGGGAACTCATGCTGAAACGGCGATCCACATCCTGCTTACACTGCCAGTAGACGCAATCCTTTGTTTTTGTCTTATGCCTCAGCAGTCTCTTCCCCAAGGATGGAGAAGTAATTTTTATGGGTTGGCTTTGAAATGGGCTTTCTCTGTAGCAGCAGCGATCATGTGACGGCACTTTGATATGGCTAGCTCTGGCCCCACTGGAGGAGCTGTGCAAAGAATGTAGAACTCCTAATGGGGCAGAAAGCCAGGCTTGTCAACTTACAGGCCATAAACATAATTTTGCACATAAGTACCTGCTCTAATGGGACCAGCAGTGTAACCAGTAAAAAGCATCTCGAAAGAATGTCTTACTACTTCACCTGTGCCTCCGTGTACTATCTTGGTCCATCTTGCCTCTTAAAACCTCTTCACAAGCTCCACCTGGGAACTAGTTCTGTCCTCCCACTTTGACTTCCTTTCCATCCGAGTTCCCTTTTGTTGATGCTACCAGTTACTTGTAAGGTTCTTGCAGGCTGGAACAGCTGCCCTCTCCCATCCTCAGTATAATGCCAAATCCTTTTCTCCAGTGGTTATCATGTATATCTTGAACATCATTTGGCTGCCAGTTTTAATTAAAGAACCAGGTATTAAGACATGCAGTAGCAGCCAGTGGTAAGGTGGGGATATAACTTCCTAGCTGGCATGAGAAATAGGGCTGTATTACATCCCTTAAAGGTCCTTTTAGAAAACACAGCTCTCGGTGGCTGATATTCCTTAAGCCACTGAGATCAACAGTCCTAATTCAGCCTTCGGCCATCTCCCATCAACCATAGCCATCAAGGCCATTAGCTGAGAAAACTGGGAGTTATGCCTTCCAAATGTTTTGGAATACCAGATCGGGGAAAGCTGCTATATGCTATCTCCTTTCATTACAGGGTCATTCTGGAGTTGAGGTGAAAGCTACCCATTTATCTTACTGCAGAGTACTCCTGGCAAGGTTCCTTTAAGGTATCCACCCCAACCCCATGTCGTAAGCCATTTAATGAATCCTAGGCTCCTGCCTCCCCATGTGAATCAATCTGTTGTTGCTTAAGCTCTAGTTAAATCCCAAGGTATGGCACAGTATCGGCAGCTAATAGCTTGTAGGAATTAGCCTTGGTACTGAGCCAAGGCACGCTTGCACAGCTGAACCAAAATGGAAGGCAAAGCACTGGGACCTGTGCACACGGGCTGTAGGCTAAAACTAAGTGCTACCCAAGGACAGATGTTTGGTTACAGGTAGGTGATAGATGCCATGAGATGGCCTTGGATAGCTGCTTGCATTTTCAGGCAGAATGACAGAGTGATGCCCTTAAATGACTTGGTGTGTTCTCTTGACTCAATCTAAAACTGGACATCTGACCTATACTTCTCCACGTAGTGGACAGGCATAACTGTAGGTGGGCAGTCTTCTGGAAGCTGCAGGCCAGGCCACACTTTTCTTAATGATTCCTGTCATGCTCAGGGCTGCATTGCAAACAGCTGACCTAGAAGTAGTTGTGCTCTTTGTTAAATCCTTTGCCAGCTCCTGTGCTTTACTTGCCATGCTACCTTACGGTTTTCTTTCCTCTTTCAGTTCAGTGCCTCTCTGCTTTAGAACTGATGCCAGATCCAGAAAAGAAACCGGTTAAGAGGAGGGGAGAGCTAGCTTAAATGTGTGGGACATAGTAAACAAAGCTGCTCTTACCTACAGCACCAATTCACACCACTGTCAAATATCTAAAAACAGATTTATTAGGACATTGGCACTTCAGGTCTCCCTCTTTGCCAGAAACCTGCTGCAAGAGTGTTCCACCCTCAGCCTTATCTTTGGGAAGAGACGACAAGTGAAATGTCTCGGTCCGGAAGGTCTTAGGTCCTTTCTGCAAAGTGTCTCCAGAATGTTTTTTTCTCCATGATACAAAAGCTGCTTAGTTTACTTAAATGAGTGCTGATAAAGAAAAGTCTTTGCCTGAGTAGGAAATAAGAAGAGACCATACTGGAGCAGGGTGGGAGAGAGCCTATCCGAATAAAATGAAACTGGCTGAAATCTCTCCTTGCCCGTGGTAGGAGCAGAGATGCGCCACGTGCTGATACAGGCGGGTGCACGTCATGAATCTCCCTCGCTGTCTTCTGCCAGCACTTCCTGGCTGCAACAAACTAGGGACTGTGACTGGCTTAGAACTGATCCAAAGAATAAAGAACGGAACTGCAAAAGAACATCAGGGAAAGAAATGTCTTAGAGAATAGCTTACAAAAGATGCTGAAAACTTGCAAAGATGTGACAATTTTGGAAAGTTGCCTCTACAACTTTCCATAGAAATGCCTGAAAAGATGCAGATGGTATTCAAGGTGAGGCATACCACTGTTTGGCTAGTCTCCGTTCCACCCAACCACTCCAAAACTAACACCGTCTCCCCAGTGTACAGTTTCTGCCACACCCTACCCCACACACCCTGCCCACATCCAGCAGGATTTTGCAAGAGTATGATTAACAAAAAGCCTCCCTGCTGCTCTTGGAACATTAGGAAGTAACTAATGGTGTCACTCCAGCTCAAATTAGTCATGGTGTAAGGACCAGTAAAAACCAGGGAATAGGCTAGCTGCAAGGAGCCAAGTCCCGTCCCTTTCACTGAAATTGAGTCACAACCAAATGGGACCAGATTGCAACAATTAAGGGATGCTTCATGCATCACAGTACTAGTAGGTACATATGAAATGTTCAACATGCGCCATCTTGTATGTGACAGCATCAGGGTGCATGCATTTATTTCAATGCAAAAGCATTTTGTCCACTGCACCAGGTTGCAGCCTTGTGCCCGCTGTTTAGTCAGTCTGCTCAGAAATTGTAGCAAACCACCCAGAGAACTCCAGCTATTGGACAGTATGGATGTTAAATACATTAAAATATAAAATAAATGCCCTATCTTCACTCCTTGCACTGTATGTACCTCCCAAGTCACTAAAACTGCAGGGTGGCTGCAAGATAACTGGGGCTGCAACGCCATCATGCAAATTGAGTGTAACGGACTTTCGGCATCAAGGCCATCAGTACGCACCCTTTTTTGTGGCGGTGTGCCAGAGACAGAACCCTGGTGGCCGCTGTCCAACTCCCTTGCGTCCAAGTTGCTGCACCTGGGGAAGGTGGGGCTGGGAGGCCTGTCCGGGCCATCGCACGTGGTTTCCATCGCGATCATGTAAGCATCAATGTCGTCGCTGGTAAAGTCACAGGCAGGAGCCGGGGGCTTGGGGCTGCTGGCATGAGAGAAACAGGAGCAGTTCTGTTGGAGAGCCCCAGAATCCAGCTCTTTGGAAGACACCCCTTTAATTCCAGGAAAAGCCTTTGCTTTGGGGACACAGAATTCAGCCGCTCTAAGGAAGCCTGGGTCTCAAACATCAGAAGTTTCTACACACACACACACACACACACACACACACAACTTTACATTCATAAGGCATTAAAAATGGAACTAATGGCAGAAAATACATAATGTAAAGATGAGGCACTGAGCTGCTGTAAGAGTAACCAAGGTAACTGTAGACCTGCTCAAATGGCAACTCAGCTGAGGGCTAGGGATGAACAAGCAGGGCTGGCCAATGAGAGACAAAATGCCTCATTGGAAATGTTGCCAACAAGAGGGTTAAGCTGCTGTAATGCCAAGCAGAGGTGAGAGTTCCGACCTAATGGCGTTGTCTTTTGGACTCCTCCCCACCCCTTTCTGGCTTCTGTGAGTGCAGAGGCAGAGGCGGGCAGAGCCTGGCTTACCAGTTGTTCATTTGGGAACTGCTGTTTTCCGGCTCTGATAGTGTGGCCAGGACCAGCTGGACTTCCAGCACAGGATCTTCCACAGTGAAGACGGCTGGCCTGCAGCGGAGGAAATCGGTGAAAGCAAAATTCTCAGGAACAAGTCTGGGGGCTAGCAGGGAAACCAAAGAACTATCAGCTCGGGGAAAAAACTTTACTGGCTAGATATCCTACCTTCGCAGTGAAGCATTATAGGAATTCTGGCCACTGGTCATTCACATGCTAGAAAACGAATGAAGGCTGCTCTCAGCAGGAACCCAAAGCAGCTGCGCTGGTTCAGACCAAAGGGCCGTCTAGTCCAGCATCCTATTTGCAGCTGCAGCCAAGCAGAGGACCCTGAGATGGCCATGGAGAGGCCTTGCAGGGAAGGCCCTGCCATCTACTAGCATTTGTGGTGCCTGTCACTCCCCCGTGAAGGCCTACCTGCCTGGGATGTCAAAGTGGATATTAAGGGGAAGATTTGAGGACTCAGCAAAGCTCAGAAGACCCTGGAAAAGAGAGAGATGCTACAGTTCAGGAGGAGCAGAAACCACCCCATCCCTCGTTGCAGCATGGCTGGGGAACACACTCACCCGGAATTCCTTGAGGCAGAATGTGACTTGCGTCTCTTCCTTGACCTGGAAGGCCTGGAATTCATCCTCGCTCAGACACAGCTCTGTCACCATCATCCGGCTAGGCTCTGACATAGAGAGGGGTCAGAAAATACCGCTTCAGACTAGTGCCCACAGTGAGGCACAATTAAAAGGAGAGTAACGGGGACTGCCAAAGAACATTAAAGTCCATAACCTGCTAACCTTCATGCCAGAAATATGCTAGCCACTCCCTGGGCTAAGGGAGTCTGCTTCCTTGACAGGCTTTGGGGAGAGGGTCCCTGTGTACAGCTCACCTGTCTCCTCTTCCAGGTAGCTGCGGAAGCTCACCTTCCCATTGGGGCTAACAGCCAGGGTCACTTCTGCCAGTGTCGCTGGGAAATGCACTACAGCATCTGCTAAGAGCCTGTATTAGACGAAGGAGGGGCAAGGAAAGGAATGAGCGGGAAGCAGATCTCACAGCTGAGCACCCTCAGTTCCCATGGGTATTTACTACTTGTTCCAGTTAAATTACAAAGTTAATTTCTAAGCTTTTAAAAATTAAAATTGTTTTAAATAATATACAAAACATGAACTGCGGACATCAGTATGTCCACATGTCTGCTTTCCATGTTCACCATTTAGTTCTAAACCAGTAGTTCAGGATGGGGTGGGAAGGTGTAACTCTTCTAGTGACACATGCACCAATGCCTGTAAATTACATCGTATCACCTGTTACAACAATCTCTGCAGATGAGCAAGGGAAGCCTCTGGACTGCAACAGATCCTGCTGGGCTGGCATGGCTGCAGCTGCAGCATGGCCTGGCCAGCCTATACATCTCAACCACAGCAGCCTCCATCTGTCCAGCTCCTCCCACCTGTCTTGCAATCCCACCTGACTGAACTGAGGCCTCACCTGGGAGGGGCACGCAGAGCGTGGGCATACTCTTCTGTGTCAAAAACAGCCTGCAATGATTCGCACTCCTGGAATGACAACTCATGGGTCTTGACAACACCTGGAGGAAGAGAAAAAGTCTCAGTGGGAGATCCCTTGGGCATCTGATGCTGAGCCTCACAAAAGACAAAACCAGGGGCCATCTCGTGAACTATAAAGGAGTAGGGGAAAAAAAGATAGCAATGCTTTTCCCAATCTCGAAGCCTGAAATGGGGAAAACTGACATGGGGAAATGAACTTCTCTCATGAGATATTTTATCATTAAAAAGATGTGCAAGATATTTTTCAAAGCACTGTTTGAAAACAGAATCTTTACAATCAGTTCATGCTGCCGCAAATCTTACATCAAATATTGATAAACAGTAACATTAGTGATGGCCCTCACCTGCCTTTGACTGGTTTACTAAACGGGCAACACTCATAGGGCTCTGTGTTGAGAAAGAACGTTCAAATGCTGCAGCATAAAGGCTGCTTTCAAGCGAAGTGGCCTGTCTGGGAGTCTGCCAAACATGCTGCACCTGTTGCGTGTAAGCTTGATTCACACCTTGCTTCTCCTATCTCAGATGCCTCCATCTTTATGTATCCAAGCGAAATAAACTGGTGAACGTTTGAAAACACACATATGACCCAAAGTTAACATGTGGAAATGTTGAAAAACTTGCTCCATTCATTCCAACCTTCCATTTCCTGAAGTCCATGAAGTTTAAAGTGAGCGCTCAAAACCAGCTGCTGTAAGTCTTTCATGCTGATTCATATGAGAGAGAAAAATGTAATACTGGTGTTTTCAAGGGAAGTCGGGCTCCCCTGGATGAAGCACATGTGTGATACAAAGAAATATGTGCTGACATCTGGATTGGTTTGATTTGTGGGAAACTCACAGCAGTTGTGAAGGAGATGCATAAACAGCGCAATGGTTATTCAGATTTTTCCACACGTGTAACATCATGTGGAGAGAGAGCCGGAGATCGCACCTCTATGCTCCATGAGGTCTGAATGCCTGCAGGCTCACTGCTAGGTGGGGGCTTAAAGCAGGTCATGGAGACAGGAGATCTGCAGCATCCAGGTGGCTTTTCCCCCTCAAACCTTCCCCCAGTGCAATGCCAGCATGTAGAGGGGGCTTGCAGGGGACATGATCCCACTGGTGAGCATGAAGTGGGGAGGTAGGCGGAGGTGTAGAACTCTGAGTTGGAGAGAGACCGGCCAACTTTGGTCCTACCTGCCGCCCCAGTCTTTGACCAGTGAGCAGGATTCTGATTTCCTACCAGGAGCTGACTCTTTGTGCTGCAGCCCTCTCTAGCTCAGGACGAATGCCGAGGCAGAGGGGCCCAGGTCTCTCCCACCTGATCTTCACTGGACACTCCCTTCTCCGACTGTATCCTTTCCCTCCAAATGCCTTATTTGGGCCCCACACTCCTAGCTTAGGAATAGCTGCCTGCAGGTTTCCCAAACAGCCAAGAAATCATTGCCCAGGCTGCCTATGACAGACCAAAATCCTGCTCTCAGCGATGCCTTCCAGCACCTCTCCTGACCCCGCAGTGTCTTGCAGCATGCCACCACCCCCTGCCCCCTTCAGGCAGGGCTGCTCCTCGCCCCCAGCACTCACCATACTTGCAGTGCAGCTGAACACGGAAGCGGCAAGCACGGGAACTCAGAGAGATGAGACATTTCTCCACAGTCTTCTCTAGGGAGGGCAGTGAGCGGAACACAGCCAGAAAAGACTGGAGGGCACAAGGAAGAAAAACCATTAGGATTGTGGCCTTCCCCCACCAAAGCAAGGGAACACACTGTGACATAACGGTTAGAGCAGGGGGATTCATCTCTCAGCCTGAGAGCTAAGTACCATTTTGAAGTCAAAAAGCCATCAAATGAATGGGGAAAAGGGGGTGAGGTTAGAGAGTTGAACTGTGCCTGGGGAGACTAAGTGAGAATCCCCATTCAGCCATGAAGGACACTGGGAAATGGTAAGCTGGTCACTGTTTCTCCACCTCATCCAGCTTGCAGGATTGGTGGGATAGAAGGAGAGAACTATGTGTAACACATCCAGGCAGGACACAAATGCAGGGAATAAAAATAATAAATGTGGCCAGAAACACCTGCTCTTCTCTTAAAGAACTGAGCTGAGCTGCCCTGATTCTGGCAGAATTACTTCCAGGAACAGCTGAAACAATGCAGTCTTGAAAGTCAGAATAAAGTTTGCTTTCTTGAACCTTAGCTGAGTAATAAAAGAGAAATGCAGCAATCTTGAATGTGAGTCATAGGTAACTTGGTGTGTGCTTGCTTCTTTCAACAGCGGGATGTGTTTGTCAATCAACAGAAGGCACACCAATTATGAAAAATCAGTTATTTACAAAAGCAACTTATTTCTTGAATGTTCTCCACCCTCCGCGTGTGCACACACTGGAAATCATCCAACAGCTCTTCCACTGCATCATGGGAGCAGTCTGAGTAGCTCGGACCAAATATCCATCTCCTGCAGCTTTCCATTTCCAGCACTGGCTATTCAAATGCAACCAAGAAGCTGGCAGGGAGGTGATAGTTTCTCCATCAATTCTGTCTCTGGCATTTAGTACTCAAGATAAATTGCTTCTGAACCTGAAAGTTTCCTTAGCTGCTGTGGCAAGAAGTTAAAGAAACAACCCATCCTGCACCACCCTAGCAGAACAGAACCTGGGGGTGGGTTGAGGATTTGGGCCCATGAAACCCAAATGTGCTGTTGGTCTCAAGTTGCATACAGGAATTAAGTCTGCCAGAATGTAACTGTATGGCAGAGTACACTGTAAACCCTCAGACCACTATCTGTCTGCTGCTTTACATCAGGAGCGGGCAGGAAATAGATAGGGATATACTAGAAACTAATGTGAAACATTAGATTGGCAGCATTTTCTGACTCTCAACAGTTTTAAGGTAGGTAGGTAAAAGTGAAAGTTCTGCCATAAGCAATGGGCACAAGGTCGGTTTTCTCCTGGACTCCATGTTGTGCAACTGTTTAAGACGGCAATCCTTCACTTGTTTACCTGGGCTCAATGGGCCTCATTTCATTAGCCATGTGTAGGATTGCACTGTGACTGATTGCCTTTGAATGAATCTTTGAACAGCTTCCTGGCCTCTTTGATTAGAATTCCTGACCTACAGTAACTCAAACACAGCCTGTATTTGAACATCCAGTGAATGGGTCTGGGGTGCAGCATATAATTGACTTCACCGCACCAGCCCTTCCCCACAGTCGTGCTCTAGTTTAAAAATCCACAAGGCCAAAGCCTGTCCATTCCAGGTTTATACTAATAGATGAGATGGTCACATTGTGGCTGGATTGTAGCTCTTGAGCTGCTGGTAGGAGAACCACATGCATGAATGTGCTTCCCAGTATTAAAAATATCAAAAGAAACAGCTTAACCTGTCCAAATTCTAACATGCCGATGTTTCCCATGTAGCTTTTTGCAGGTGGAATGGGTAAGGAAGCATTGACAAGTGTGATTGTCACTACCACCTCTATCTAAAAGAATACGATGTTATTTATATTTATATTTTATATTTATTTTATATTGTTAATTTTAAATTGTTATTTTTGTATTTTATTGTATTTTATTGTGTTGTAAGCCGCCCCGAGGCTTCAGCAAGGGGCGGCATAGAAATGTTCTAATAAATAAATAAATAAATAAATAAATAAATAAATTTATGTAGATGAGTTCCATTGTTTATAATTATTTCTACGAGATCCAAGCCAAGTGTGATTCACTTGATGGGAAGTCTTTCTACCGCCCACCTGCAACAGCATCTTACCTTCATGAGCACTTTGCATCGGAAAGCACTTGTGTCTGCATCAGCGCCTGCTTCTCCCGCTTGGTAGTGCTGGAAGAAGAGCGGGGCAAAAAGGAAGCAGGCATAGGCCGAACGCGACGCATTTATTGCACGCAAGGACAACTAGGGAAGCAAAGGACGGCAAAGGTTACCAACTCCATCATCAGCACCAAGCAAGGACATACACACGTGTGCGCTTCGATTTGGTCAAACCCTGCTTTCCAAACACAAAGCTTCACTGACACACAAATGCAGGACAGACCTGAATCATTGGAAAAGCTCCTGGTGCATGTAAAAGCTCGACAACTCAATTTGCTTTGGAACATATCCTGCATCCCAGCCCTGAAGAGCAATCACAGTACCAGGATTGTACCACTGCTCCAATAAAGGGGTCTCCCCTCACTTAGCCACACAGCTAAAGAATCGCTAACAAAGCATCTTCTTTGGAAATTATTATTCAGTGCATAGTGTATGTTCCTAGTTTAGCACATCGGTTCTATGCTGCACTTCTGCAAATGGCTAGAACTCTTTGACCTAGTTTCCCGCACAACCTTTCTTGCAAATTACAACTGTAACACTCTAATTTGATTCTGCTATGGAACATCCCCTTCCAGTCACACACTACATTCTGTTTCCAAAAGCTTTCCCTGCGTCTCGCCTTACCCCTTCCTGAAGTGGCTCAATGTAGATTTCATCCCCAATACGGGACAGCGTGTGCACCGCTTTCCCCAGGGCTACATGAGGGACAGAAGAACATAAAACAAAAAGCTTAAGCATCTTGCAGTGTCTGTTGTTGCACTTTGCACAGGCCAAGGCCGTCCCCCATAGTTCCTCGCTTCTCCTAACAATCACCTCAGTCTACTCTTTAGTCTTAAGCAGCTTTGAAGCCTTTAGTCTTAAGCAGCTTTGCCTTCACAGGCTAAAATGTTATTCCCATGTCACTCTCCAGTAGAGGTATCACAATATTCCTCTAACTACATGAATTCTATTCTCTCTCGCCATTCCAACTCCCTTTCCATCAAGACACCTCTTTTATTACAGAGGCAGAGAACCCCTTTGGCGGAGGTGGGAGGAGAGGGGGCAGAGCCAAATGTGGACTAGGCCATCTCTTCTCTTTCTTTCCGACACCTTTTTTTCCTCTCCCCACTCTGACATTTTCATAATTCTCTCTCTCTGCTCAGCATTTATCAAGAAGGTAGAATCAGCGGGTTTGAATTAGGTCAAGAGCCTCGTGTTGCCCACCCCTGCTTTACAAGATAGGAAGCACCTTTTAGGATACAGCCAGCTCTGCCCATTTATGACTTGCACCCAAATAGTTACTTGTGTCTCACCTTTCACATTGCCCCCAGTAACTATGCACTTCATGCCAAGGGAGAGAAGCCACAAGTTTTCTCCCACACTGGGCAAGGGAATGAAAATTCAGCGATAGTACTCTTCCCCTAGTACTCTGTAGTCAACTCCATTTTGTGATGAAAATAACTCTCTAGGACTTCAGAGTGGATGCTGGAAAGATATAAACATACACAAATATGAAAAATTCAATATTGTTACACGATACCCATTTTTAAGGGTGCCTTTATAGACTGATGATGAACTGTGCTAGTGTTGCCATCACCAGAATGATAGGATGGCAGTCCAGTTAACTAGAAGTTTTGGATCTGTTCCATGCTCTTTCTCCAATGCCAGTTCCTGACTTAGCAGTAGCAAGCAGATCAAAAGGCAGACAATCGCTTTCTGATGTAGAAGTATCGTGAACTCCATAATACATGGAGTTCACAATCCTATTCAATCCTATTCAAGGAGCAGTCCTATTCAAGTTTAGACAGAAAAAAGGACTATAACTCCCAGCATTCCTAAATGTGCACAGGTTTGTGGCGTAAGGGTTCCCCCCCTACATATCCATTTTTAATGGTTACTTGTGTGATAGGGGGCTTTAGATTGTGCTGCTGCTGAACTGTGTGTGTGTGTGGGATGACTCAGTACCATGTTGCAAATGAAATGGTCTCATCTCTAAAGTCACCATTTGCTGCATGGGACGTGTGCTGGTAAAAGCTGCATATATTCTTTGATTTTTAAATACATGGTCCAAATTATATTTTCTCAGAAGTAAGATGAGACCTATAGGCTACTAAATGAATCCAGCACTGCATTCATTGTATATAGACAGACTTTAAAATGCTTATTAATACAGTTACAAATCTGTTAATTGTTAATTATTAATTTTATGCACAATTTGCTATTGTTAGCTGCTCTGGGAATTTCTTTGGCACCTAAAATAAAATGAAATTCATAAGTTTAGAAATTTAAAGATGACTAGGGAAATAATTTGACTGAAATTAATAGCTTACTTCTGAGTAATGTACATAACATTTGGGGGACAGAATTATTCTTTCAAATGTGGGGGACAGAATTATTCTTTCAAATGTGGATGTATCATTGTTTGCTGCTACCTATCACTAATTTATATCCTGCCTCTCAGCTACAAGTCATTCATATTTTTTCAGGCAAGTGGATGGAGGGATGTGAAATCAATGTTTTTTACAAGTATAGGAGTTAAATGTAAAACTTGATTTTGGTGCCAAAAACTTGACAGAAAAATACTGAACAGTAGTTTCCGAAGCCACTTGCTTAGTAAACTTGTTTACAAAGCTTTACTTTTAATTTATTGTATTTTAAATCTGCTCAAAGCAAATGTTTTGTAGGCCCATTACAACAGTTAAAATAAGAAGATACAACACAAGTAGATAAAATATTACAATGCAAAAGCATCTTGCCTCTGAGATGGCAACTACAGGGGAAAAGGAGCAGCTGGACTCCTTAGGTGGCCACATCTGACCATGAAGCCTCCAGTTGTTGACCCTACTCTAACTAGAAAAGCGACCTGTTCCCTGTGCCCTATCAGCAAAGAGACCTTGGTAGCAAATACCGCAGCTATGTGAAATCCTACACGTATCTATTCAGAAATAAACCCCATCAAATCCAATGGAGATTACTCCCAGGTAAATAATTATACTAGAACTGCAGTCAGAGGGAGTGTTTCAATCGAGAAGCTGAACTTGCTACACAGCACACTTACGGGCACAGGAGCCTTTTACAAGGCCAGGCACTGGCAACACGCATCCCTTCCACAAGGCTCCGCTGCCACTCGCCAGGACACTGGTCAACACGCGTCCCAGTAGCGGATTCCATAAATCGGACTGTGGTCGTGGGGGTCCACTCTGAGACGAGCCTCTCCTCCACTTCAGCCCCAGGCAGAAGGCTAGTAAATCCCCCCATTAATAAGACCCGGGTTAAAGGCTCCCACAAAAAGCGAGAGCACCCCATCGCTCCCCGACCCCCCGGGAATATTCCGCTTTCTCTTACCTTCCTCCGAAGTCAAACGCGTGCGCCAAACCCCCATTCTTAGAAGACCCGCCTTCGCCCCAGACGACATTCTCATTGGACAAGGCGCCTATCACTAGCAGGGAATGCAGGTGAGGAAGGATAGACTCAGACTTCATTCGAGGACTTCCGTCTACGTAATCCAATCAGGGTGGAGAAGGGCTATTTATTTGCCTATACAAGCACCACCCCTTCGCTGTTTGGCGTGAGGGATGGCCTGGTTGAGAATCTTCGGATGGCCCCCGCCTCCACCGATTTTCCAGGGGGCGCGTGAGCCGGTCTGGGCCTGCGCGTGCTGAAGCGAGAGTCGATGTTAAGATAGCGGTGCGGCTCCACGGATATTAAGGCTGGGCGGAAGAATTTCTCTTAGAAGGCTGGTTACATACGGGACTTTCTATGGGATTTCCCTCCGTTCTGGCTCAGTGGGATCCTTTTGCCTTCCCACTCCTTGTAACCTGCTTTGCTTAAGTTGAGTAAGGGACGTGGTGCTTCCTCCAGCAATAGCTAGCAGGGCATTCCTGACTGCTGAGATCCCACAGGATAACGTCCTGTGTTAGGCCTGTATAGCGATTGTTGTATGCTGTCTGTTCCTCTCTGATTTTTGGCGATGCTTTGAAAGCCTTCCAAGCCTATTTAGAATGGGCTCATTGAAATGAATGGGTCTTAATGATTGACTTTTAATGGGTCTGCTCTAAGTAGGGCTAAAATTTGTTGCTTTGCATCATAGCTGGGGATATGGTGTTTCTCCCAAGTATTTGAGTTACTGCATTCTTGACTAGGTGTTTTTTTTTCTGGTTGGGGCTGAGTCCAAAACATCTGAAGGGCTAAACTTTTGTGCAAGTATATTGAACTTGATCCAGTCCATTATTCCATTCTAACACTGGTTCAGAACATCAACTGATACTTCAGTTGGTTCAGAACAGGGCTGCATGACTACTAATAAAGACTGGACCATGGGACCATATTAGGCAAGTCCTCTATCAGCTGTAATGGTTACACATTGAAACATAGAAAACAGAGCGAGTCAGAAAGGGCCTCCCGGGCCATCTAGTCTGACCTCCAGCACCAGCTGGCTCCGCTCACGACATGCCCACCATGTGGACGTCCAGCCTATCCTTGAACACCCGCACCGATGGGGCCTCAACGACCTCTCGTGGAATCCCATTCCACACCCTCGGGGTCCTGACTGTCAGGAAGTGCTTCCCGGCATCCAAACGAAACCTTGGCTCCCTGAGCTTTGCTCCGTTGGAGCGCATCCTGCCCTCCTCTGCAGGGGAGAACAGGTCTCTTCCCATCTCCATGTGACACCCCCTTACATACCTGTATGTCGCCAACAGATCCCCTCTGAGTCTCCTCCAGGCTGAAGAGACCCAGTTCCCTCAGACTCGCCTCATACGGCATCCCCTGGAAACCGGCCACCAACCTTGTGGCCCTACGCTGCACTGACTTGAAGTCACTACCTCTCTTTTGCACCTTTGTCCAGGTGAAGCAGTGGCTGTCCTTAACTGCTGTCTGGCTGAGGTAATAGGTGGGATGAGGGCCAATAAATTTAGGCTTAATCCAGATAAGACGGAGGCCCTGTTGGTGGGTAGTGCAGCCTTCCAGGTCAGTGGAATCTGCCCTGTTCTGGATGGGGTTGCACTCCCCCTAAAGGACAGGGTGTGCAGTTTGGGAGTGCTCCTTGATCTACAGCTGGTCTACCAACTGCACCCTTACCTGGATGAGCATTGTCTTGCAACAGTGACCCATACTATGGTAACTTCCCAGCTGGATTATTAGTAACGCACCCTCTGCCGGGCTGCCCCTAAAGACGGTCTGGATACTTCAGTTGGTTCAGAAGAGAGCTGTCTGGATACTAACGGGAACTGGCAGGTATTCACATATAACGCGGGTCCTCTATTGCTTACACTGGCTACCAATTGAAGTCCGGGCCCAATTTAAGGTGCTGGTGATAACCTATAAAGCCCTAAATGGCTTGGATCCTGGATATCTGAAGGAGCACCTTCTTCCCTATATGCCCTCCTGCCTCTTGAGGCGGAGGTCCTTCTTTGGGAGCCCTCCTTGAAAGAGATTAGAAGGGTGGTTACCCAGAGGAGGGCCTTGTCTGCAGTGGCACCCAACTGTGGAATACACTCCCCAGAGAGGTTCACCTGATGCCAATGCTTTTTTTCTTTCCAACGCTAGACAAACCCCTTTTTATTTTCCCATTATTTTAATTGTTGATTGGTTTTAATATTTAATCACTGGATGCTGTGCCATTATTTATGCTTGTTGTAAACCGTCTTGAGACACCACTAATGGGATGGTCTATAAAAGCTTTTAATAAGTCTAGGCCCAATTCAATGTGCTGTTGCTGACATATGAAGCCCTAAATGGCTTGAGGCCAGGGTATCTGTTTCAATAGATTTTAATATTTTTACTTGTAGTGTTTTATGTATTTTTTCATCAACATCTAGAGTTGTCAATTTTTGTATATTTGGTTTTAACTGATTTTATTTGTGGTCTTTTATTATTACTGTACACTTTTATTCTGTAAACTGCCCAGAGAGCCTTGTGGGCTATGGGATGGTATGCAAATGTAAGAAATAAAACTGCCTCACCTGAATTAGATGAATAAAGATAGGTAGGGAGTTGTTCACATATTCGTGACATCCTCACCCACTCTGCATGAGCACTTTGAATTGGGTCTGGGCAGTTACAGGCCGCCAGTGCAGCTGGTGGAGGACTGACAGGATGTGCTCTCTGGGACTGGTCCTTGTTAGTAGCTGTGCTGCCCTGTATTGGATTAATTGAAATGCCTGGACCCTCTTCTAAGGAAGCCCCACGTAGGGTGCATTGCAGTAATCCAGACAAGAGGGTACCAATGTATGGGCAACTGTAGCACTGCTCTGCTCATTCACATAGGAACATAGCTGAAAAATTGCCTCAGCTAATAGAAGGTGCCCTGAGTCACCTGTGAAACAAGTGACAACTTGGGGTCCAGGAGCACCCCCAAGCTATGAACCTCATTCTTTAGAGGGAACACAATCCTGTCCGGAATAGGTTGAAAATTTCCCAGTTGGATGGATGGACTGCCCACCAACAGCATGGTCAATAGTATGAAAAACCGCTAAGAGGTCCAAGAGAATCAACAAGTTAAAATGCCTTGCCATTTAAATGAAATAAGTAACTTTAGGACCACTTTGTTCTAGGAGGAAAAGCAGATGATCACCTGAAATTTTTGACATCACAACAATCTTGTGGACTGTTGAAGTTGAGTGAACAAATGTATTTGAAATTAAGTTCTACTGAAATCAATGGGACTTATTTCTGAGTAGGCATACCTAATAGGATTGTGCCGTGTTTTCTTTGTTGGCTCAATATTTGACATTATTTTACTGCCATTTACATGCCACCTCTCTTCGGGTAAAAGCTATAATTCTTTTGTGTATTCTGAATTGTTTTGCCAGTCTGAATATGACCAGCACTTGCTCTTCATGTTTCAGATGAACATTTGATTTGCTTGGAAGGTTTCCTTTGTTAACTTTATAATTAACAGAATCTATAAACATGGAGAGAAAAGAAGCCTAAAACAAATACAATTTTACTAGAATCAGTTTCAAAAGCAGCACCTTGAAGTTTGCTCAAAACTGTCCCCTCTCTGCCCCCTTCCTTTTTTATTTTTCCCCTAGAAACATGAAATAGGACCCCTGAGACCTGTACCTAAGAATCTAATAGATTTGTTCTCTGGAAACAAAATTTCACTCTTGCCTGTAAAAAAAACCCCAGTGCCTGAAGTGGTTAATATTTGCCTGTTTTAAGTGAGCACCTGGGGTTAAACTTGGCACCTGGATGCTACAAAACATAATTGCATGGTAAACCTATGACTTCATCACATCCATGCATAACTTAATCAACTGCAGGATATATATATATATATCAGCAATACTAAAGCTCTCAATAAACACAGTTGCAAAAATTCTAATCTCCAATTCTTTTCAACTAGTATAGTAGTGATCTATGAAGCAGTCATCATGCCCAGGAATCTCTTTAAAGCATTCGAAACTTAACAGCCCACTCATACTAATGGTAGGTATCCCCATCCACAACTCAGCTAAACTGTTACTTGGATTTAACCAAATTCAGTCCCAGTTGCCCAACGGGATTATGAAATTCAAGTATTTTGTCTTATGTGTAGCATGGATCCAGCAGTTAAAGGGAGTTGGCAATAGTCCAGGGAACCAGGTGAATATATCTGACTGACCAGTGGGGTGTTGGTCCCCTTTCTCCAGCACCACATCTCAGTACTGCATAGCAAATAATTTTTAAAACTCAAGGAAGTTTTAAAAGCTGTTTGGGGTATAGAAGGATGATTTTTTTTCTCCTAGAAATAATTCAGAAGTCCTGCTGAGAATGCCCAATGTAATCATCTGGGGGGCCACAACAAATGTGCCAGGGAGATGCATGTTTGACTCCTTTGTGACTTATTAAAAACGTAAAAGTAGCCGCTCAAGAGGGGCTGGATGCAGGCATGGCACAAGGGGAGGGATGTGTTTAACCTCCCCACCTTCCATTATTTCCTGAGAAAAATGGTTTCCCCTGAAGCTGCTACTTCAACCACAAGTTTTCATTGGATTCTTTGATGAGGTACAATCAGTTTACTTTGGCTAGCTGGTATGCAATTTAAGAAAGGCCACCAATTGGATCCAGAGTTGATACTTTGTGAAGTCTTCATTATTGGAGGAAACCAGGATTGAGCATGGGGTGATTTTTGCTGGTTCTTCCTTCTCTCTGCAGTTTCCAGTGTGGCTGTACGTGCTATTCCAAAGTGTCCCCCCAACCCTTCAAGCGGATTTTTGGGAGCCTGGGTGCAGGGACTGGGGGTTGGAATCACCCCCCACACTTTTGTCCAGGGAGCAGCACCTTGCACA